ACGTCACGCTGAGGATCTTCCTCAGCATCGTCGCCGTCCTCACCCTCAACCTGATGCAGCTCGACATGAAGAACGCCTTCCTGCAGAGCAAGTTCGACCGGGTGCTGTACATGTCCCAGCCGGACTACTTCAACGACAGAACCGTCCGGGTGTGCAAGCTGCTGAAGAGCCTCTACGGGCTGAAGCAGTCGCCGCTGCTGTGGTACTTGGCGCTCAACGATGTGCTGGTCGGCGCCGGGTGGAAGAAGAGCCAGGTCGACGAGGCTCTGTACTTCAAGGTTGGCGACGACGGAATGGCCTGCTGGGTGCTGGTCTACGTCGACGACCTGCTCGCCGCCAGCAGCAGCACCGGGATGCTGAAGGAGCTGAAGGGGCTGCTGGAGTTCGCCTTCGAGCTGCGTGAGATCTCGCCGGTGCAGAAGTACCTCGGGCTGGAGATCGTCCGCGATAGGTCGGCAGGGAAGCTGTGGCTGCACCAGCAGGGCTACGCCGACAAGCTGCGTAGGCGCTTCATCGACGAGGAGCAGACCGGGCGCACCCCGAAGACGCCGGTCTCGGTCGACGCCTACGCCGAGCTCACCTTCGACGACGAGGAGGCATAGGAGCGACAGGAGGAGGAGTACCGGCAGAAGGTCGGCTCGCTGCAGTTCGTGGCGACGACGACGAGGCAGGACATCGCCTTCGCCTGCAGCAAGCTGGGGAGCGGCCTCACGGTGAGGAGCGACCACCACTGGCGCGAAGTTGACCGCTGCCTCGCCTACCTCGCCAACACGCGTGACATCGCCCTGGAGTTCGGCGGTGGACCTGAGTCGCTGGAGCTGGTCAGCTACGTGGACGCCGACGACGCCGGTGACAAGCAGAACGGGACGAGCACGAGCGGCTACGTGTTCGTCTACGGAGGGGCCGCAGTCTCCTGGTCGAGCCAGCGCATCAAGTGCGCGACGTTGTCGTCGACCGAGTCGGTTACGTGGCGGCCAACGAAGCCGGCAAGGAGGGACGCCGATTTCGCTTCCTCCTCGCAGAGTTCCGGCAACTGGATGACGGGAAGCCGACCGTCCGCCGGGTGGACAACAAGTCGGCCATCACAGTCGCCGAGCGCATGGGGTTGACGGGCAACCTCAAGCACATGGAGCGGCGACAGGCCTATGGTGAGGCGCGGGAAATTCTCGCTGAGGTACATCCCGACCACCGAGCAGCCGGCCGACTTCCTGACGAAGGCGCTGCACTATCCGGCCTTCAACCGGTGCTCCGACGCCATCGGCCAGGTGCGCTTGGCCAACGTGGGCGACGGCGACGACGACGTGCAGCAGTAGGTGCCATGCCCTCTTGCATGGCTGGTGCGGTGGACGACGTGCTGTGTGTTGGGTGCACGTCGACGAGCTATTCTCCGAGGAGTACTGCCGTGTGGGCTGTGGGGCCCAAGCGTGAACGCGGCAGGGGAGTGTCAACGGAAGTTGTGTGTTGGCCCCGTCCTCGCTTGGGCGGAGACGACTTCGTGGTCGGGTGTGAGGGGAGCAGCCGACTTGCAGCAGTGGGCGAGCTGGTTGACGAGGAGGTCGACCTGCACGGGGACCACTGCACGGGCGCCGACTTCAGGGTGGCGCCGACTTCAGGGAGGTCGACCTGGGAAGTTGACCTGCGGAGGGCGTCAACTTGGTGACGCCAACTTGGGGCAGCCGACTTGGGTGGTCGGCTGACAGGTCTGCTGGTCGACTTGGTGGTTGGTCGACCAGGCGTGATGTCGACCTGGTGGTCGACCTGACTTGGTGGTCGACGGAGGAGGGGCCGACGTCGACCACGACCCAGGACGCCGAGTGGCTGGGCGTCGAGTAGCAGGGCGTCAACTTGGTGTCGCCGACTTCGGGTAGCCGACTTGGGTGGTCGGCGACAACTGCGCTGGTCGACATGGAGCTGGTCGACCAGGAGTGCTGGTCGACGTGGAGCTGGTCGACCAGGAGTGACGTCAACCTGGAGCTGGTCGACCAGAGGTGTGGTCGACCTGGTGAGGTCGACTTGGGGTGGTCGTCAACTTGGGAGGTCGACGGGCACATACAGGAGCAGCTAGTCGACGTGGTTGCCCGGTCGACCAGGTTACCTGGGTGACGAGGTTCTGCGGAGGAGTGCGACGGTCGCCCAGGCGAAGTTGGCGAGTCCGACCTCGGTGGTGGTATCCCGAGGTCGACGTGGCTGATCAGATGCAGTCGTCAGCGCCAGGTTGACTTGGTGTGTGCGCTGTGCAGGTGACAAGGCTCAGCACGCCAATCATCTGCGAGCACCTGCGAAGCTGGTGCGATGCTGTACTGCGGGAGCTACTCTGGCACGCCGTCGACCTGCAGCGTTGGCACGCCGTAGACTTTGCACTGCTAGAGCGCGGTCGACCAAGTCGTGCTGGAACGTGGTTGACCATGCTGTGCTGGCAGTCGACCGACCTGAATGCTAGCTCTGGTGTAGTCTTGCCATGCCAACTTCTTTTTACCATTGTTGTCAACTTTCTCTAGTGAAACTCTTGCCATATTGCCCGGTGATCTAGCAAGCAGTGAGAACGCAGAGATCACACGAGCACTAAGAAAACGACTAAGGAACAGAGAACGCAGAGATCACACGAGCACCCCTGCCTAGCCCGCAGTCTAGCTCCCGTTGTAGTAGTTTCTCCGCATGCTTCACTATCGAGACATTTTCAACCGCAAACTCCACTATGGGGCAAGTGATGTGAGAGAAAATGGCTGCAGAAGAGGGCCATGAGTAAAGGAGAGGTATGGGTGTAAGGGAAAGGCACAGGAAATGCTGTGCCTGCAGGCACTGCACAGAATTGCACAACACCGCAGTGCACTCACTTGGATGGTTGCAAATCGCCCTCAATGCCACCACCGCGCGCTGATGCTTACTCAACTCAATGAACGTGAACACGCTCCCTTTGCCTGCAGTCTCAAGAACAGTGCAGCACCGTACTGCACAGCACCGCATACACAGCCCTGGACCGCACTGCACCACATTGCACTGTACGCCTCAGGGGACTCACACGGATGATTGTTGAGCGCCCTCAGCGCCACCACAGCATGCTGATGCTCACTGAACGCAATAAAAGCTGTTCCCTTTGCCTGCCGTCTCACGGGAACCACACTGCCGCACTGCACCGCACTGTACTGCACTGCACCGCAAAGCACTGCACAGTACTTCACTGCACCGCACCGCACCGCACTGCACTCACTGGGGTGGTTGTTGAGCGCCCTCAACGCCGCCACAGCGTGCTGATGCTCACTGAACTCAATGAACGCCGCTCCCTTTGCCTGCCGTATCAAGAACAGTGCAGCACCACAGTCCACAACAACACACCATACAGTACATCACCACACTGCACAGCACGGCACTGCACAACATCTCACTGCACCATACTTCACTCACTGGGGTGGTTGTTGAGCGCCCTGAGAGCCGCCACCGCATGCTGGTGGTAACTGAACTCAATGAACGCCGCTCCCTTGGAGCGACGCCTCAAGATCAGCACACCACTGCACCGCACTGCACTGCACTGCAAACCATCGCACTGCACCGCATTGCACTCACTGGGATGGCTGTTGAGCGCCCTCAACGCCGCCACCGCGTGCTGGTGCTCACTGAACTCAATGAATGCCGCTCCCTTTGCCTGCTGTCTCAGGGACAGCACTGCACTGCACCGCACTGTACCACACTGCATTCACTAGGGTGGTTGTTGAGCGCCCTCAGTGCTGCCACAGCGTGCTGGTGCTCACTGAACTCAATGAACGCCGCTCCCTTGGACCGCGGGCTGCTGTCTGGCCCCACCCGGTCTGTTTCCCTCAGCACCTTCACCTGCAGATATGAGAGGATGGTGAAAGAGAAGGAAGCAGATTTGAAGGAGTGCAAAGAGAGATTAAACAACACTCCCTTGGACCGCGGCTTTCCATCCGGCCCCACCCCTTCTGCTTCCCTCAGCACCTTCACCTGCAGGGAGGAAGAGGGTGAAAGCGACGGGTGAAAAGCGTTAGGAACAACTCATGGCATCTCATGACCATCTCATGACCATCTCATGACCATCTCATGGCCATCTCATGACCATCTGATGACCATCTCATGACCATCTGATGACCATCTCATGACCATCTGATGACCATCTCATGACCATCTGATGACCATCTCTTGTCCATCTCATGACCATCTCATGACCATTTCTTGACCATCTCATGACCATCTCATGGCCATCTCATGACCATCTCATGACCATCTCATGACCATCTGATGACCATCTGATGACCATCTCTTGTCCATCTCATGACCATCTCATGACCATCTCTTGACCATCTCATGACCATCTCATGACCATCTGATGACCATCTCATGACCATCTCTTGTCCATCTCATGACCATCTCATGACCATCTCTTAACCATCTCATGACCATCTCATGACCATATTCTCCTCATTTGTTCGGTCAATTTCGCATGTAACTCCCACAAATATGATACCAATATGATAACTTAAATGTAAGGTAATCAATGCATACTCTTTTATTGATGATCTTGTCCATGGTCTACACACACACACACACACGCACGCACGCACACACACACACACACTACTAGTACTACTACTACTACTAGACTGGGAAGAGAGGAATGGGAGGAAAGAACAAAAGAGCTAGGTGGTGAAGAGAGGTAAAACAAGCTAGACACCCATAGCTCCCTGGCCAAATCAAGCTGGCATTCTTCGCTGCCTTGTCTTGACGAGGAGCATTTCTTCATCTAGAGTCTTGAATTCTTGGTCTTCATACAACTCCAGAAGCATAGTGACTAGAAGTGGATACACTTGAAAGACATCATGTCAGGTGAAGTTGATGAATAGTATCTGTTTAGTGGGACACAAAGAAGTAGGTAGACGCAGTGAAACGTGAATGCACAAGGGAAGTGGGTGTGCATGGAGTAGAGTGGCTTCTAGAATCAATAAGGAATATTGAGCACAACAAGAATGAGACAAATGTATGGTACTTACGTAACACCATATGCAGCGATGCTGCTCAGGGACAGGTAATTGAACACAGCGGCCATCGGTCCATTGCAGTTTGCATAGGTATACGCGTAGATAATCCGGCAGTGCCCCGCTCCTCCCGGTGCACGGTCCACTCGCCAGTATGACTTCATGTAGACACCAACTGCCGACGGCAGGTTGGTGCATCCGTTGTACAAAACGCGCATGGTGTAGGTGTAGGGTGTTAAGGTGTACTTGGGATAACGGTAGAAGGTGAAACTCGCCGAGGAGACGGTTGGGGCATATCCTGGAAGGATGAGAAGTGGGGGAACAGAAAATTGGAGCGTATGGTTTGGCGCGGCGTATGGGTTTGTTACAAGGTTGTATGACCTATTGATGAAACCCATGTGGAAGCACAACTGGCTAGACTTGCATTATTGTCCTTGAATGCAAGATCATGGTCTTACCACGGGCGCAAGCTGTGCTGCTCATGCCGTAGCCACTAGGGCAGGAACAATAAGGAGCCTTTACGGTGGAAGAGACAATATTGCATGTGGCCCCGGTTGGACAGCTCCCACAGGTGGCAGGTCCTGGTGAGCACAGGTTAGAAAATAGTGGGGATTTGTTAGTGTGATAGAAAAGAAGGTAGATTAGAAGGGGAGAACAGATGAAAACAGGCAAGCACACAGGATAGCACAAAGCAGCACAATGCAATGAACGCTTGAGAGCAACAATGGGCACAGGAATAGTGGGGCAGGAAAAAAACAAACATGCAATCATAGCATGCACAGGGAACTAACAATGCAAAGGAGGGAGAGAGAATGGAATGAGAGGGGAAGAAGCTGGAGAGGGTGGGGGGGGGGGGGGGGAGGGGGGGGGGGGGGGTGAGGAGGGGGATTGGGGGGATGGTGAGGTTAAAATTACATACCGACGCAATAGCCATTGACATTTCTGTAGCCCGGCTTGCATACACAGTATGCAGAGCCATCGTCATACTTCCTACAATCCTCTGTAAACGAATTACACCCCTTAAGAATGCAAGTATCTGGGGGGGAAGGAAGTGTCGAGGAAGGAAAAAAAAAAAAACAGAAACCAAACAAATGGAGCAGCAAATACAAAGAGCACTATCAGTACTACATGAAAATGTGGCAGCACACAAAAAGCATCATCGGAAATGACATTCATTCATCTGGCACGGAACCACAGACAGATTCGTTCGTCGCGCATCGCAGCACAGCACTGACCAGCACAGCCGCTGTCGGTCATGGCGTAGCCCCAGTTGCAGTGACAGATGGCGAGCTCCTGCTCCTTCTCACAGTACGCGTTCTCCCCACAGTCCCTTATCGCACACGAGTCTGTCCGGTTCACAGCAAGAAAGAACACGCATGTGGAACGGGGAGCAACGACGACAGAGTGAGGACAGGAGACTGGAAAGAATGATCAGAGTGCCCTGCCTGCACGGCATGCCCGAGAAGACTATATTGTGACTGGGGAGGTTATTGTGGGAAGGAAGCAGCAATGGCAGAGGTGTTATGCCTTTACGTGCAACAGCAGGCAACAAAGATGGGTGAATGGTGCACAGTCAACTCATGCCTGCAGGACAGATTGGGCAGCAGCGGATATGGCAAGCAAGAAGGTTGGGCTCAGCCGACTCATGCGTGCAGAACGCAATCCGCAGCAGACATGGGGAGCAAGAACGGTGCATTGGGCTCAGGCAACTCACGTGTGCAGGACGCATTGGGCAGCAGCTGTTGGCCCCTTTGGCACACACAGTTCGCCCAGCCTCCCTCGCTCTCTTCGAGGCGCCTCAAAAACGAATAAGGAAAGCAGCAAACAGGGTGCAGGGTGGGTGAAGGCACTCACGCGTGCAGGACGCATTGGGCAGCAGCTGTTGGCCCCTTGGCACACACAGTTAGCCCAGCCTCCCTCGGTCTTGAGGCAGTTGGCGTTGGGGCCGCAGTTGCGTACCGCGCACACGTCTGCACTCAGGCACGTGGAGGAAGGCACAGGCACGTGGGGGTCGGAAGCAGGCACGTGGGGGCAGACACATGCACGTGGGGGTCGGAAGCAGGCACGTGGGGGCAGACACATGCACGTGGGGGTCGGAAGCAGGCACGTGGGGGCAGACACATGCACGTGGGGGTCGGAAGCAGGCACAGTATGGGGCAGAGAGCACGTGGGGGGCGAAGCATATGACAGTGCATTTGGCAAGCACAAATGCATAAAGCACACCAACATTCAACACAGTTGGCCAGAATCCATAACAGCATGTGTAGAATCTGAAACACGGATTGCATATGTCAAGTACGGCCACAAGGCTGCAGAGGAGCAATGCTGCATTCACTCTTTCTGGCAGCACCCACCAACGCAGTTGCCGTCTGCGTCCCTCTCTTCGCCCGCTGGGCAGGGGCGGTTGTCAGCAGGAGGAGGCAGATCAACGTCAGCAGGAGGCCCGGTCGGATGGTCTGCGGAACACAATGTGGGGCAGGGAATAGTTGAAAGCGCTGAAACCATGTGGTCAAGATGAAAGCCGCGTGGCAGATCTTGCAATCCGGTTTGCCTGCCTCTCTCCCTCTCTCCAAGAAACGAACACAAAGAGTACTCATAGTAGCAGCGAAGAATAGAAGCATAGCAGCACACAGCAGCCTTACCAGTGCAAGTCTTGCCATCTTCCCGCAGCGTGAAGCCAGGGTCACAAATACAGGACGCCACCCCATCCCCGTCCTTCTCGCACTGACCGTTCTCACACGCCAGGGCAACACATGTGTCTGCATCGGGAACAAAAAAAAACTCAGCAACAGTGAAGGCGAAGGGTTATACATAAAAAGCAGTACCGCAATCAACGACAACATGGCAGCAATAGCACACAACAGAAAAGCAGCAGCACACAACACATCAGAAGCAGCACACAACACACGAGCAGCAGCACACAGCACATGAGCAGCAGCACACAGCACATGAGCAGCAGCACACAACACATGAGCAGCAGCACACAGCTACCTGTGCATGTCCTGCCATCCTTCTCCAGCTCGAAGCCAAGGTCACAGAAACAGGATGCCACCCCCTCTGAGTCTTTGGTGCACCCATTTTCACCACACGCCTGGAGCACACATGTATCTGGTGAGGGAAGAGCCAAAGGGGATAACAAACGTCACGTGAATCCAGCAGAGCCATAAGGAGCAATAACAGCGCGATTTATCAGTGCAGCACGGTTAAGCAGCACTCACCAACACAGCCATCCGCGGTCTTGGCAAAGCCAGGGTTGCAATGACAGGAGGAGACTCCCTGGTCCTCCTCACAGTAGCCGTTCTCCCCGCAGTCCTCGGCAGTTCAGCACGAGAGGGTGGACAGCACGAGAGGGTGGACAGCACGAGAGGGTGGACAGCACGAGAGGGTGGACAGCACAATAAGCACAAGAGACAGGTGAGGAGATCAGAGGATGTTGGAGCGGTCACAGGATGCTCAGAGGCCGTAAGATGCTCTGGGAGGGGTTTAAAGCGAGAGGCAGCAATGGCATGGATGTTAGCGCTGCGAAGAAAGAAAAGGATTGCACCGTGCAGGAGCGGATATGGGAAGCAACAAGGGTGGGTGAGGCTGAACTCACGGGCGCAGGACGCATCGGGCAGCAGCTTAAAGCCCCTGTCGCACACGCAGTCCGCCCAGCCCGCCTCGTTCTTGAGGCACCTCGCGTTGGTGCCGCAGTTGCGCACCGTGCATGAGTCTGCAGTCAGACACGTGGGGGTCAGAGATAGGCACGCGGGGAGCAGAGGTCAGACACAGGCACATGGGCGTCAGAAGAAGTTGTCACAGTCAAATGCAGTTACCAAATGACGAAAGGCGGCAGTGGAGCAATGATGTTGCGTTCACTCTTTCCAACAGCACCCACCAACGCAGTTGCCGTCTGCGTCCTTCTCTTGGCCCACTGGGCACGATAGCAGGCGAATGGCTACCACAGCCCTGGGCACACAGGCTGGGAGAAACGGTGGGGAAAATGAAGGAGAAGATGGTCAATGGCCGAGAGTTGGATCTCATAAGGCTACTACACGAGAAACAAAGCAGACATGTATGTGCAGGACTGCGCAGATTATACATGCGTAGATAACTGTTTGCAAGGGTGAAGGAATGAGCATACCAGAGAGCATGAGAGCAGCCAGTGCGGCAGCAAGTACAAGGCCAGAGCCTCGCATCCTACTAGCCTCGTAGAGTGCAGCCATAGTTGATCCGAGTTTCCGAAGCGATGACAACGATGTTCGATATGGTCAGCAATCTCAGATTGGAAACACAGCCAGGAATGAATGATTTGCCGTCTGGGATGGCCCTCTGAAATACTTCCTGTCCAGTTCCGCCTCCTGCCGGATGCGGTCACTGGAACTCCGCCCTTCCTCTACGAAAAAATCTATGTCCTCCCGCCCTTCCGCCTCCTCTGTGGGTGCCAAAGAGTTGACTTTCCGTTGCTCACGTCGCCAGCCAGCGCATCCCAGATCTGACATGGACAGATTGACTCAATGACGTTGGATTGCTTGACTTAATCTGACTCAGCTCCAGCATGACGGTCTGAAGACTAGCGGGGATTGGTGGGCGTGTGGTGAGGTGTGAGCTGAACAGTAGAAACACCAGTAAGCTGCGCCGCGCGCACGAAAACTTGAAAGCTGGATCCCAGCGTTGCAAGTGGAAAAGGATAAACTTTCAAAAAGATTCCAATCTGCCTTTCCACGCTGGACTGCGCTGCAGCGTTGGACTGCATTCCAAAGCTGAGCTGCACATCCGAACGGCGGCGCTGGATCCCACTCGAAGCTGGATGCATCCAACATTGCATCCCGGTGCCGTACAGGCGCAGGCTCGGTTTGGATACGAAAGCTCCGGCTGTGCACAGAACAACTGTTCTCAAGAATTTGACCAATCTCGCGAAACACAGGAGATAGTTCCTCACAAGCAGGAATGATGGAATAGTAATGTGCTGAGTGGATGGATAATGCGCTGCTGGTGATGCGGATGATGCGGTTGAAACTCCGCCTTTGCCAAAGAGCTGACTTACTGATCAGAAAAAACCCTAATGTGATGACATTCCACCACTGCATTATAGCGCTGGAATTCATTGCAACGCTGGAGTGCTTCCCAAAGCTGAGTTGCATTCCCAAGCTGCATTCTGGCTGACACTGAATCTGCATTCCGTACATGCCACTAGGGCTGAAGTTGGGTTCATTGCCAGCTCGGACGTAGCGTGATCCTCGGAAAATTTTCTTGAAAAAACAGGGTCCTCAGAAAAACCTCCCCGGAAAAGTGGCTATCCAGAAAAGCTCTTACGTGAGCGTTTTCACTATCGATTCCTGGAATTATAGGGTCCCGCAACATTCGAAGGTTTGACTGAAAATACGGTGTCGCGTCCAACTGGAAGTGTTTAGAAAGTGTGTGTGTCGGGGTGTTTGCTTCACATGACTCTGCCCGTTTCGGTTTAGCAATGTATCCCCAGAATCAGAGAGCGCGTGCCCTGAATGCCAATATGGCATTGCGTGTGGGTGTGTACAGTACTGTGTATAGGCAGGCTCGCTATGCTTTGCATTGCTGGATTCACGAAAGATGGTGCAGAGGCCCCGTAGAAGCAGTGTACACTGATCAGTATCATATCGAAACCTCAACAAACCCGCTGCACTGTTATATTGACCCAAGGGGCAAAGGGACAAAAGTTGACACCGTCAGAAACTGTCCAAGTGGCAGGGTTGTTACGTTCCAAGCCGTCTCAATACAACAGTCCAAGTGGCAGGGTTGTTACGTTCAGCAAGCATTGTCACCGCTCTTGATAAGTGTCCTCTCACTATTACCATAATGCATTTATCAATTCAATCTTGTACCTGCATACTTAACCGGCCATTTAGTGGGCCCAATATTTTATTAGATTTTTCCTCCCTGGTTTTCCTTAGTTCTTTTCACCATTAATATTGTATTTCACATTGAACATGGGATTTGACATGTACCGTGTTACCCCGAGTATAAGAGCATCTGCACTTATAATGAAGCGTGTTTTTTTCATAGGGTGGGCTTATTAATGAGTAGATAAGGCCTGGACATGATCTAGCTCCACCTTTAACTTCCTTCTCACGTAAGGAGAATCCAGGGTCCTACAGCCAGAAGAATACGGTACGGTACAAGTTACAACACCCTTTAGTGCATTACAATGCAGGAGGAGCATCGGTGCGAGCAAACAGCACAGTGTTCCCATCCCCCATCACATGCACTCTCTTCAGTCCCCACGCAGCAAAGGTCTCCTCACATTTCTGCCGCCTCTTCGCCCCGTCTCTCCCCGCCAGCTCAGCATGGAATCTCACCGCCACCTGGCCAATCGGAACACTCCCTGGCGTGGGCCCCACGGGGGTCTTCTCGGCCAATGCCGCGGCGCCATGTTGCGTCAGATCTCCCACACTGGTGCCAAATGCATCTCCCCCTCCTAAAGCCCCTCCTCCCCGACCTCCTCCTCCTGCTGCTGCTGCATTCTCGCAGAGATCGAGCTCCAGCCCGGCGATGTCCAGCCGTAGGATGTCGATCCAACGGTGGGAGTGCATACACATGAACGTGCGCAGGCGCAGCACTGCCGCTTCCCGCGTCTCTTGAGACGATGAGGAGGTGGCAGCAGAGGATGCAGAGAATGAGGGGGAGGAGGAGGAAGAGGAGGGAGAGGAGGGAGAGGGTACGGGGTGGAAGAGGGCGACCCCGTCTCGAGGCCCGAGGGCGAAAGGGCGGAACTGGGGGGAGCGGCGGGGAGAGAGGCCCTTGATGGGTTGCAGCATGGAGGAGAAGGTGGTGTCGTTGACGAAAGGGTCGAACACAAACACCTGTGGGGGGGGGGGGGTGTTAGTAAGGTGTGGGAGGAGGGAAGAGGTTCTTGATAAGTTGAAAAAAAGAAAGAAAGAAAAAAAAGCTAGGGCTCGAAGACGGGGGGGATGGTGGGGTGTGAGAAGGGAATGGGCAGCATTTGTCAGTAAGGAGAAGGGGATATTGTCGGCAAATGGTATAACAAAAACACGCCCCCTTCCCTCCCACCCTCCCCCCACCAGCCACCCCCCCCCACACACCTCCCCCTCGCTTCACCCACTGTCCTCTCAAAAGTCATCTCACAAAAAAAAGAAGAAAAAAGCCAACTCCAAACGAGTACACAATTCCCTTTGGTTGCAAGTGATCAGATTGGACCACACAATTCCACTTCCCATTGCACGCACACAACCCCCCCCTCACCTGCTGTTCACCTAACCTTCAAGCAGAAGGTTTGAGCTCAATCGTCCCCTCTTTTCTCACTCCCCCCCTCTACGCCACACCCCCTCTTGCCTCAACTGTTGTCCTCTCAAAGTCATTTCGCCTTCAAACAAGAGGTTTGGGCCAACACCGAAAGAATAAACGACGCTTCTTGGACGCAGGTGATCCAATCATACCAGACAGTACCCCTTCCCACCTCACACAACCCCTGCCTCACCTGCTGTCCTCTCAAAGTCATTTCGCCTTCAAACAGAAGGTTCGGACCGACTCCAAACGAGTACACGACTCCCCTTGGTCGCAGGTGGTCGGAGCATACAGGCCACACGATTCCCCCGCCTTTTTCTTTCGCCTGCCCGGGCTGCCCGCCGATGTATTCCAGTTTGCAGGCAGGGAAGCGGCGGCGCAGAAAAAACTCGACGTCCTCTGCTGTTGTGACTCCCTTCTTTTTTTTCTGCCCGGGGTCTGAGAGGAGGTGTCTGGCGGGCAGGTGGTAAGGTGAGAGGAGGTGGCGACACAATTGACGTTTGTTTGGTGGGAAAGGCGGAGAAGGGGGGAGTGAGGGTGGAAAGCAGGGGGGCGTGAGAGGCAGGGGGAAGTGGCGGAGAAAGGCAGGGGTGGGGGGGGGGGGGGGGAAGGGGACGGGGAGGGGGAGACAGGACAGAATGTCAGAGCATTGCTTTGAATGTACCAGGAAATAGCGTATTGAGACGACTGGGAAGGCGAATGGCATAGCGACAAGTCAAGAATCCATACACGTGGAGAACGGGTGGAAGGGAAGGGAGTGAGAGCAGCGTACATTCCCCACCCTCCCCACCCTACCCACCCTCCCCACCCTCCCCACCTTCCACTCCCTCCCCACCCTCCCCACCCTTCCCATCCTGCCCACCTTTCCCCACCTTTCCCCATCTTCCCCACCCTCCCCACCCTTCCCCACCTTCCCCGCGACCCCATCGCGTCGCTCCTCCCCGCTTCCCCGTTTGGGGGACCTTCCAATTCCAGTTCCGCCTGCTCCGCCGCGGACACGGGCTCGGCGCGCTCCGACCATTCGCGCTCCTGATGCTGCTGCTGCGGCTGCTGCTGTTCCTGGTGGAGCTGGTGGTGGTGCTGCTGCTGATAACCGTCGGATGCGGAGAGAATGGACGGCGGATACACGATGAGCGTGCGGAGCGAGTAGGCCTGCACGGCGACGAAGAGGATCAGCAGCACGTGCCACGGGAGAATCGCCGGGATCGCACTGTTTAATTTCGCCGGCTGGTCACCCGTTGTGCCGCCTGGGTGATATATTTTCGTCGGCCCGTGAGTTCTGGACGAATGCATTGTCAAAAAGGGAGATGAAAATCAGGAATCTTAAAACCAGGGTACACATTCAACGCGACTCCAGGCTAAATTTTGGGCGGCATGTTTGCGGGAACTGCTGATTGGTTGACGAGTAGCGAATAAATTGTTGAGAATGGGCGAGCATGGGGCTTTTCGTCCGTGAGAGATGAGGCTTGGCAGGGGAGAAATTGATAACACTTGGATCTAGAAATTGGGGATCAAGGGGAGGGCAACTGGGTTGGCGGAAAGGGGAAAGGGGGTGAGACGATATTGTGGGGGAAGGGGAAACAATTTCGGTGGGAGCGGAATAGGTATGGGGAGGGGGGAAACGAATTGGCGGAAGCACATTCGATGACTTCGGTATACATTTGCCAAATCTCGAGGGTTCAAATGTTCACCTGCTGAAGCGAACACTCCCCCCAGATATTCCTAAATCACTGAGTAACCCCGAGGTCAAAGGTTAACCTTTGACAGAAATCCAATTGAATGTGCACCCTGGTTTTAATATTTCATTGGCTGTCAAACGACGTCTCCACAATCTTACAATTTGTTTGTCAATTCTAGTAGAAGCGGACTTTATACGGGACGGGAAATACTACGTTCGTTGAACATTGCTGACGGGGCAGGTGCCGCAGCCGCTACCACATCACCCAAAATGCTACGCGTGGGGGGGAAGGTGGGGGGGGGGGGGAGGGGGGCGTGATCTGAACTTCTGAGTATGGTAGCGGTTCAACGAGGTGCGTGACGGTTTTCCTCGGCAGCAGAATTTCGAGGAGTAAAACCGGTTGGATGTTTTTGCAATGCTTCACCGCTTTAAACCGCTACTCGCCATCCTGGACATTATTGTTACAGTTTTACACCAGCAAAGTCATTTTGGTGCATCACACACCAACCACTTTCAACAAGTGCCTCCGTTGTTGAAGTGTTCGGTTCCTGTTAAGTGATTGTTACAAAAGAACTAAACGCAGACAGGTACACGCCTATGTGCCTTGCACTCATGGTAGAATGAACTTTTGGTCATTGTTTCTTCCATAAGCCAAAGACTTTCTTCATGAACTTGCCAATAAATGCTTGCAGTTTTTTTGCGGCAACATTTCAACTCCACCGTGCTCGCATCACTTCACAATTCATTGGCGGTCTTATCATACAAGAAGGAATTGTTGGAAAGCATGCCAGTGAAGGCGGGCAAACGTTTCAAATTCACAGCGGGAGAGAAGAGAAGGGGCGTATAAACAGACACGATGAAAACATTATCCCACAACGTCAGGAGGGGAAGAACGATGCTCAAGGAAAGATGAGACTCATCAAGCTGCAGTGCAGAGGCTGTTGCATGCAAGAGCAGCATGCCCCAGCAGCACACTGGCATCCCACAGTCCATCCAACCAGGAAGGGTTTTGTCTATACCGATGCTGGAGGGGAGACTGATGCAAATAAAGCTGCAGTGGCCATTGCAAGAGCAGCACACTCCAGCAGCACACTGACAGTCTGACACCCCACAGTCCATCAGAACCAGGAAGGGTTGTGCTGTATATCAATGCTGGAGCAGAGACGCGGAGACGCAGAGACAGCTCAAGCTGCCGTGGCTGTGGCAAGAGCAGGAGCAGAGTCCGATTCCTCATCACTTCCACCTCCCTTGCTTCCTCCCCCCTGGCCCTCCTCTCCCTTCCCTCCTGCCTTCTCTCCACCTCCCTCGTTCTCCTGCAACCACCGCTCCCACGCGCCCTCCCCTTGCAGTATGTGGGCTCCACACCCCGGCACACCGTCCTCCCCCTCCTCCCCCTCGTGCCCCACCGATGCCTCGTCCAGCACCACTGCTTCCACTAGACTGCTGGGGACCTGGTGGGATGGCAGGGATGGCAGGGACGGGCAGATCAGGCATGGGAGGGATGGGTGGATGGAAAGCAGGGTGCAAGTTTACCCCCTCCTCTTCCGCCTCTTCCTTCTCCCCCTTCGTTCTCCTGCAACCACCGCTCCCACGCGCCCTCCCCTTGCAGTATGTGGGCCCCACACCCCGGTACACCGTCCTCCCCCTCCTCCCCCTCGTGTCCCACCGATGCCTCGTCCAACACCACTGCTTCCACCAGAGAGCTGGGGACCTGGTGGGATGGGGTGAGAGATCAGGCATGGGCAGCAGGGATGGGAAGGATGGATGGATTAAGGCAGGGAAAAAATCAACCCCCCCTCCACCTCCTCCACCTCCTCCGCCTCCTCCCCCTCGTGTCCCACCGATGCCTCGTCCAACACCACTGCCTCCACCAGAGAGCTGGGGACCTGGTGGGATGGGGTGAGAGGTTAAGCATGGGGGGGGAAAGATGATAGGGATGGGTGGATGATACGGAGGGGCGAAAAGGGGTTAAGCAGGTAACCCCCTCCTCGCCCTCCTCCCCCTCGTGCCCCACTGCTGCTTCGACCAACACCACTGCCTCCACGAGAGTGCTGGGAACTGGTGAGTTGGGGCGAAAAGGGGAATGAAGGCAGAATGGGATTGAGGCCTTGATACCCACCGTACCTCACACATAGCCTTGGTAGGCACCATACCTCACATAGCCGAAAACCGCCGGACCTCATGCATAGCCTCGGCGGCAACCACTTACACAGCCCTGACAACTGCTGCAGCTCATACATAGCCTCGGTAACCACCGTACCTCATACATAGCCCCGATAGCTACCGTACCTCGTACATAGCCTCGGTGAGCAGCCCCTCCAGCAGCGATCGCAGCCCCCTGGCCCCCGTGTTGCGCGCTGCTGCCCTGCGCGCTATGGCCCTCACTGCTCCCTCTGTCATGTGCAGACGGGCCTGGGTAAGTGGAGTGGACGAGGGAAGTGGGGAGAACATGACGAGAAGGAAGCGGGCAAGAATGTGTGCTGCTGCTTTGCGTGCTATGGCCTTCACTGCCCCCTCCGTCATGTGCAAGCGCGCCTGAGTAGGTAAGTGGTTGCAGAGGGGAAGTAGGAGAGCATGAGGTAAAGGAAGACGGTATGAGTGCTGCCCTGCGAGCAATGGCCCTCACTGCGCCCTCTGTCATGTGCAGCCAGGCCTGGTGGTTAAAATTTGAAGGGAAACAGAGGGAGAGCATGGGGAATACGCAGGTATGAGTGCTGCTGCCCTGCACGCAATGGCCCTCATGGCCCCCCCTGTCATGTGCAAGCGGGCCTGGTTGGTAGGGGGCAATCAATGGGAAAGGGAGTGAACACGAGGAAAATGAAGGAGGAAGGATGAGTGCTGCCCTGCCTGCGAGCAATGGCCCTCACTGCGCCCTCTGTCATGTGCAGATGGGCCTGATTGGTAGTTAAGGGGAAAAGAGGGGAGAACACTAGAAGAATGAGGAAGGTAGCATGCGCCTGCGAGCAATGGCCCTCACTGCCCCCTCTGTCATGCGCAGCCGGGCCTGGTTGGTAGAGAAAGGAGAGAGGGAGAGAAGGGGATTGGTCAGAGACATGAAAGAGAGAGCCAGCACGAGTGCTGCTTTTGCCATCAAACACTTCATGGCACGCGCATTGTTGAATCGACTCAAGGGACCTTGCACATGCACTAGTCTTGTTGATAAAAAACAGGTCCGATCGCTGCCCTTTCTCGTACCTTGCACTAATTGTTAGCAGAGATTTGTGATAGTCATGACCCACCAGCAGCAGCCCACCCAGCAATCACGCTGTTCACAAGCCCTGGAAACGGGTTCTAACAGTAGCCTTCACTCACGTTGTTCATAGCCAGCAGCTTTGCAAATTGCTTGCTGAGGGCGTTCTTGGGCTTTAACAGAACCTGGCAAACAGGAATCGCACAGCCACAGGGAGGAGCAAAACGGATAAGGACATCAAGGGCGTAAAACGAGGCGGATCATCTCCCTGGTGAATGGGCACCTTCAAGACCTTCACAGAGAAGAGAGCACAGTCATGCAGCACTGTATGCGGACTCTGGCTTTCAGGCGAGTTCTGAGACGCCTCCACAAGGTCCCTCAGTTGCCACCTGCACCACCACTTGCCACCTGCACCACCACTTGCCACCTGCACCACCACTTGCCACCTGCACCACCACTTGCCACCTGCACCACCACTTGCCACCTGCACCACCACTTGCCACCTGCACCACCACTTGCCACCTGCACCACCACTTGCCACCTGCACCACCACTTGCCACCTGCACCACCACTTGCAACCTGCACCACCACTTGCCACCTGCACCACCACTTGCCACCTGCACCACCACTTGCCACCTGCACCACCACTTGCCACCTGCACCACCACTTGCCACCTGCACCACCACTTGCCACCTGCACCACCACTTGCCACCTGCACCACCACTTGCAACCTGCACCACCACTTGCCACCTGCACCACCACTTGCAACCTGCACCACCACTTGCCACCTGCACCACCACTTGCCACCTGCACCACCACTTGCCACCTGCACCACCACTTGCCACCTGCACCACCACTTGCCACCTGCACCACCACTTGCCACCTGCACCGGTTGCCACCTGCACCAGTTGCCACCAGCACCAATTGTCACCAGCACCAATTGTCACCTGCACCAATTGTCACCTGCACCAATACTTACCTGCACGAGCTGCTCCTCTGTGAGCGCATGCAGCCCTACAAGCACCAGTTCATGCCCGCACCAGTTGCTACCTGCACCCTCACTGCGCCTACCTGCACGAGTTGTTCCTCTGTGAGCGCATGCAGCCCCACCAGCACTGGATGTTACCCAGTTCCTACCCGCACCAGTTGCCACCTGCACCAGTCATTACCTGCACGAGTTGCTCCTCTGTGAGAGCATGCAGCCCCACGAGCACCGGGAATCGCCCCACAAACTCAGGAATGAGCCCATAGGCTATCAGGTCCGTGCTCTCTGCCTGCCATAGACGAAGAAAGGTAGTGGGGGGGTTTCAGGGGGTGGAGATAGGTGGGGAGGGTTGCGGAGGGGTTTAACAAAGAATCGCCCCCACAAACTCGGGGATGAGCCCATAGGCTATCAGGTCCGTGCTCTCCGCCTGCATTTGATGAACGATTGAGGGAGGAGGGGGTTTGTTGAGGTGAAAGGGAGGTTAGAGGAGGGGAGAAAATAGGGCTCAAAATTAGCACTACGAATCGCCACACAAACTCGGAAATGAGCATGAAAGGAAGAGCATGAAAGGAAGAGCATGAAAGGAAGAGCATGAAAGAAAGAGCATGAAAGAAAGAGCATGAAAGGAAGAGCATGAAAGGAAGAGCATGAAAGGAAGAGCATGAAAGGAAGAGCATGAAAGGAAGAGCATGAAAGGAAGAGCATGAAAGGAAGAGCATGAAAGGAAGAGCATGAAAGGAAGAGCATGAAAGGAAGAGCATGAAAGGAAGAGCATGAAAGGAAGAGCATGAAAGGAAGAGCATGAAAGGAAGAGCATGAAAGGAAGAGCATGAAAGGAAGAGCATGAAAGGAAGAGCATGAAAGAAGGAAGAGCATGAAAGAAGGAAGAGCAGAAAATGATGAAAGAGGGAAGAACGTGAAAAAGAGAAGAGCATGCAAGAGGAGCACTCACCGACTGCAGCAGCGAGCCGGCAGTGCGGGCGTCAAGCACCGATCGGTTGCGCAGCGATGCGCGCACGGGGGCCCCGAAGCCGATGGATGACTTGCGCTTCCTGCACGCAGCAAGGTAATAGAGAGATTCCAGACATGTGGTACAGTCAGCATCATATGTGCTTGTTGCAGGGCTTCCTTGCAGCGATGTCGCATGTGGGCCCCGAAGCCGATTGATGACTTGCGCTTCCTGCAACAAATGAATGACATGACGAGACATTCACGATATGCAGTTAAAGGCGAATGAGGACAACATCATGCGTGACGAATGCATAGGTGCTCCAAAGCCGATTGATGACTTGCAGGGAGAGCAAGTCATCGTATGTGCTTGCAGTGATGTGCATTTGGGTGCTCTGCTCTCATCTCCTCACCTCTCTGCTCTCATCTCCTCACCTCTCTGCTCTCATCTCCTCACCTCTCTGCTCTCATCTCCTCACCTCTCTGCAATCATCTTCTCGAGATCCACGAACGCCCCTCCACAGATGAAGAGAATGTTCTGTGTGTCCAGCTGGTGGGGTGGGTGGGGCAGCGAAACGGGTGGCGGGGTAGGGGTATTGGCCATGGGAGGGAGATGGCTGGCAGGCGATAGAGATGGCGGGCAGATAAAGAGAATGCTATACGTGCCCAACTGGCAGGGAGGAGCAAGGGGCAGCAAGAACTAACTGAGACAACTTATGAAGCGCCTCAAAGGCTAACTGAAAGGCAGTGGGCACAAGGGGATGTAGGTAGATAGGCATTAATAAGAAATGCATTCTGACTTTTGAGGCGCCTCAAAAGAAGCTAGCCATTAATAAGAAACCCATTCCACATTGTGTAATACTCGTTGTGGTTTCCAGGTATTCTACGTGCAGCGTTGACTTTTGAGACGTCTCCATGCCTCCTACGTGGGGTTCTCTTGGTTTCCAGGCACTCTACGTGCAGCGAGGTTGTTTTTGAGACGTCTCAACAACAGGTATTCTTCAGGCGCCAAAACAACTCGTACAGGGAGTGAGGCAAGCAGCACCAAAACACCAGATATCAATATAACCCCGCACCCCCCCACTCCTGCACTGCACCCCTGCACCCCCGCACCCCCGCACTCCCCCACCAATGTAGCCCCGTACCTGTATGAACTCGCCTCTTGGATTCTTCCTCCCTGTTTTCTCCGGCACATTAATCACCTGCACCCAAAGGGAGAGGGAACCGGACAAGAGTTTTGAACTGACTGAATAGGCACCTTCAAGCCCACCACCACTCAGCTCAGGGCACCGCCCTCGAGCATTCAGAGCAGCACCTGCTACACTCCCTCCCTCCCTCCCTCCCCTGATGACACACGTCCCTCTCCCCTCAAGCTACTCACATTAGCAAACTCCATAACCCTCATTGGCGGAATACTCACTCCCTCAGCACTCAACCCAACCTCCCTTGCTACTCACAGCGCCCTCGAGCATCCTCAGCAGCGCCTGCTGCACGCCCCTCCCAGACACGTCCCTGTCTTCCCACCCTCCTCCAATCCTGTTCTCACATACCCCCACAACACCCCCCCCCTCCCCACCCCCCCTTCCCCCGCCGTTCTTTACTCAAAGCGCCCTCGAGCATCCTCAGCAACGCCTGCTGCACGCCCCTCCCAGACACGTCTCAAATGCCGACAGACATGTCTCTCTCTCTCATCCCACCCTCCTTCAAACCACACTCACATAACCCCTTACAGACTGCCCCGCCCTCACTCACCGCGCCCTCTAGCATTCTCAACAATGACATTACGCCCTGCCCTGACACGTCCCTGGCACTCCAAACCAAACTCCTCTGCATATTCCTCTTACGCCCCAAGCTCTCTCTACTGCCCTAGTTCCCTTAAACGCCCAACCCCCCACTCACAGCACCCTCGAGCATTCTCAACAACGCCTGCTGCACGCCCTCTCCTGACACGTCCCTGGTGCTCGTGATGCCCTCCGCCTGTCGGGTCGGGCACACAGGGTGGGGTGGGGAGATGAGAGAGGCGAGAGAGAGGCACCAGTAAGACGCTTCTTAAGACACTCCAACACGCCCTGCCCTGACACGTCCCTGGTGCTCGTGACGCCCAGGGTGGGGAGATGACGCCCTGACACGTTCCTGGTGCTCGTGATGCCCTCCGCCTGTCGGGTCGGGCACACAGGGTGGGGAGAGGGGGGGCAGCGTTAAGACACTTTCAAGGCACCTCAACACGCCCTGCCCTGACACGTTCCTGGTGCTCGTGATGCCCTCCGCCTGTGTGGTGACAAGGGGAGTGGGGATGAGGAGAGGGAAGAGACAGGCATCAAATCAACACCTCTGATTTGAAGTACTCCAACACCCCTCCCCTCACACGTCCCTTGTGCTCGTGATGCCCTCTGCCTGCCCATGCACGGATGAGGGAGCGGAGAAAGAGTCAACATGAAGCAATCTTCAACGATATCCCATCACGCCCTCCCCTCACACATCCCTTGTGCTCGTTATGCCCTCCGCCTGTACGGTGGTGAGAGGGAGGGAATGCGAAGAGGTGAGGGGAGAAGAGAGGGTAAAGGAGATGAGGGAAGGGGAGAGGCACATTTGAGAATCCACCAAAGCCACTCCGAAAACTGCAAGGGATTGGGGGAGCGATAATGAAGGGGAGGCAAGGGGGGGTAAAGAGGTGGAGGAGGAAAGCCAACAGGGTGAAATGAGGGAAGGAGTTCGAACACGAGGGAGGCGGGAATTGGGACTGGAAAGGAAGATACAGTCAGGAGCAGATTGAATGAAACTGATATCACAAGAGTGATCAACGAGAAATTGTCATGATTCGCCTCAAAGACACAAGGCTTTGCAGCACATTACAAAGGAGAACCTACTCCACTGTTGCGCCCTATAATCACGTAGCACTGGATGTTATGTATGTGCCATTTACAACAGATCACCTAGTTTCGAGTAGAAACGGAATAACGTGGCTCACCTTTACACTGATCATGTGCGGGGTGCGGGTGTGCAAAACTGTGGGACTCTGGAGACGCGGGGTATCGATCCCCGAACCTATCGCATGCAAAGCGATCGCTCTACCATGTGAGCTACACCCCCACAATTGGCGGAAAGGAAACGCCAATCCACCTCAAACGTACACACAACGGCCTGGTGCTAGTGGTGTCAAGAGCTCACTCACTCACCGTGTGTGAGGGCTTTGAGACAGCTCAGAACTCTTTTGGGACGACTCAAAACTCTTTTGAGACGACTCAAAACTCTTCTGGGACGCCTCAAAACTCTTTTGAGACGCCTCAAATCTAGTGATGTTACAGAGCTCACAAACCGTGTGTGAGTGAGAGCTCTGAGGGTTGGCGTCAGTGCGCTCACCTTCTTGGTGAGCTTCTATGATGGATTATACGCTTATAGCGTATATACGCGTGTCGTCCCTTCAATATACACGATGCCCTGCTGCGCTGCTGCTTTAGTGGGGGTGTGCATCACCTAGTGCCCGTGCCGCTAGTGCTGCTAGCAAGCCTACCTTCTTGGTGAGCTTGTCAATCTCGTCGATATACACAATGCCCTGCTGCGCTGCTGACACACTGAAATTGGCGCTCTGCGGAAAACAAGTGGACAGTCACGCACACACACACCACCATGGGAATCACACACAAAACAGCTAGTCATGAACATGCAAGCATGCACATCAGGAGCAAAATGAATGTAACTTGTAAGGAGCAGTTGAGCTACGTGAAGCCACCCGGGGTTGGGACCCGGGTGCAGCAACCCCTACCCTCACCTCCACTTGTAGGTGCAGCAACTTGTAAAATATCATCTCCGCGTCCTCTGCACGACAAGCTAACACCTCTACTGACCCGTCTCACCTCTTCCAAACCCCCTCACCTGCAGCAGCTTATAGAGAATCATCTCCACGTCCTCTCCCACATACCCCGCCTGCACGACAAACAGCACCAGAGAATGAGAAATAGGTGAGCGTTGGCTCAGGAAACACAGTTATAGTAGAAAGCCCGTTGTCCTGCATGCCATTGTAACGAAGTGACCTTTGAGGCGAATCACGAGTCATCGTGTGGGAATTGGCTCAAGAGCAACGGTGAAAGTGATATGCCCCTTGTCACACACTCCCTGTGAGGCATAGCGTGACAAGGGATAGTTAGCCATACTGGTTTAAGAACTATGGCTGGAAAACGGTGTGAAAGAGCGTGGAAACCAGGTTGTATCGAGCCTGAGAATCAGAGAGCCGCAGCTGAGTGTGGAAGTTGATGAGAGTGGTGGAATGCAACGCAGCTGGGTGAGAGCGACCTTTGAGTCAACCAAGAGTCACCTCGCTAAAGGCGCACCTGGGTGAGAGTGGTGGCATCAGCGATGGCAAACGGCACGTTGACAAACCGGGCCAGAGTCTTGGCCAGGAGGGTCTTGCCTGCACGCATGGCACAGCAGAGGATGAAATACCGTCCGCAAAGAATAGGAGATGATGACCCGTGTTAATTGCAATGACATCACAGAGCGGACAGGTGCGGTACGGGCAGGTGCGGAACGGGCAGGTGCGGAACAAGTGGGGAGTGGGCGGATGGAGTGGAGCTGATATGTTGAGCTGCACCCGTCCGATACGAGCACCTATTGCTTCCGATGAGCTGCCTCCACCCACCCACCCACCTGACCCGGTCCGGTCCGGTGGGGCCCATGAGCAGCACGTTGCGCTTCTCTACCCCCACCTTGTCCCACAAGGCACTGCACAGCAGCACACATGCTGCGCGTACGCTGCCTGTATGCTGTACTGCGGGTACCCTACCCTGCACTGCTATGTTCGTGCATGGAGCACCCACCTGACCCGGTCCGGTCCGGTGGGCCCCATGAGCAGCACGTTGCGCTTCTCTACCCCCACCTTGTCCCATGGCAGCACCGCTATACTGCCTATATGCTGTGCTTCTCCTTGGTTGCACCCTAGGCTCCACCTGGTCCCATGACAACTCGTGCACCCACCTGACCCCGTGGGTCCCATGAGCAGCACGCTGCGCTTCTCCACCTGCACCTCGCTCCATGACTGCACTGCCATACTACCCGCATGCTATGCTGCTGCTATGCTTCTCCTTGCCTGCCCCCTACGCTGCACTGACAACACGTGCACCCACCTGAGCCTGTCGTCCCATGAGCAGCACGTTTGCTCTTCTCTACCCCCACCTCGTCCCGTGAGGCACAGGAGTGCTGCTCGCACACACCTGAACTCGATGCTGCATGTATGCTGTGTGTGGGGGCTATGCTCGTGCACCCACCTGACCCCGTGGATCCCATGAGCAGCACGTTACTCTTCTCCACCTCCACCTCGTTCCATGATGGCACTGCTGTGCTGCATGTATGAGCGCGTATGCTGCCTGTCAGCACTTAAACCCACCTGACCCTGTCGGTCCCATGAGCAGCACGTTGCTCTTTTCCACCTCCACCTCGTCCTCCTCACCGCCCCCCACCAGGTTCTCGCATGCCCTGCAAGCACAGGGGGGGACGACAGTGAACGAGAACGGGAGTGAGTGAGAGATGGCGGACAAGGGGCAAAGCATGGAGCAAGTCGAATGAAATCCCCCAGCAGGGGAGTTGTAGAAAGCGAACGAGTTCACTTTCTTTTTCTCTTTCTTGGGCTTTTGGGTGAACCCAGGACGAAATCCGGCCCTCTAGGAGAGCGTTCAGGTAGATGATCAGTCACTCCATCTACACACATCGAGTTCTGAGAACTCCACTCCACACAAATCAAGCCGACTTTTAAGTCGAACCAAAAGTTAACTCCACTCCACACAAATCACAGCCCCTCTGCAATCTTCCCACTCTCCCACAGCTGAACCTCCGCTCACCCTTTTCAACCCTCATTCACCCCTCTCAACCCCTTCTCACCCCTCGGGCAGGTTGGCGAGTCTTTCCCGCTTCTGGTTTTCAAGGAAGATGCGTTTGTAGTGGTTGTACACCGCCACTGCCAGCACCTGTTGAAAACGGTTGAATACAAAGTAAAAAAAAACAAAATGAGATGCACTTAAATGGCTTTGTCAATAAACGAGCTGATAAGGAAGATGCGTTCGTAGTGGTTGTAAACCGCCACTGCTAGCACCTGTTGAGACGGGTTAATTACATATCATATAGGGCTTATAACCGGGATACGCTTGTAGTGGTTGTACACCGCAACTGTTGTAACCTGTAGAGAAGAGTTAAATACAAGGTTCAGAAATGGCCAATAACGAAATGAGCTTCTAAGGACGATGCGCGTGTAATGATTGTACACTGCCGCAAACATTCGGCTGCGAGTATTTTCGAAAGAAGAAGTGACGAGTATGCGACCGTAAAGGAGCAATACCACGCCAGCCTGTCAGCAACTGCCACGTCACCAGCACAAGCTCACCTTTTTCGAGTTATCCTGCCCGATCACAAATTCATCCAACGCTGCCCGGATCTGCTTGGGCGTGGGCAGATTCTCCCCCAGATTCGCCCCTCCCCAGTTATGCTCTGTGCCGTCCCCCCCTCCCCCTGCCGCCCCAAAACACGGCACATGCCCCTCCCTCCCCTCTCGCCCTTCCCGCCCTTCCCGCCCCTCCCTCCCCTCCCCTCCCCCGCTCTGCTGCCCTCTCCCCCGCTTCTCCCCCGCGCCCGCGCCAGGGGCGGGGGGGATCTGCGTGGGCGCGGCCAGGGGGGACGGGGGAGGGGGCGGGGCGGGGGGGCCTCTGGGGGCGTGCAGGAGGGGGGAGGAGAAGCTAGGGGGATAGGCGCTGGTGCTGCTTCCGCCACCGCCAGGGCTTCTATTCCTTCCGCTGCTGCCCACCTGCTGCCCCTCACTCCGCCCCTGCCCCTGCCTCTGCGCTTTCTTTTCTCCCCCCGCACCTGCCTGTCCCTGCCCCTGCTGCCCCTGTCCCTGCGCCCACGGGTGCCCCCCCCACCCCTGCAAACTCGCCTGGAACCGATTCAAGTACTCCTCCCGCGCATCTCTCCGCGCGCTTCCCCCTTCCCCTCCGGTCGCCCCGCCCATCATCCCGTCCAGCTCGCTGCGCGCCGACCTGCCGCCCGGGCGGCCGTCCGGGCGGCTGAGCTGCCGCCCAAAGCGGGACCACTGCCAGGCGTCAGAGGCGGGCGGTTCGGGGGGAGTGACGGCGGAGAGGGGGAACACGTGTTTCCAGTCCGCCTCATACCAGTCCGCCTCCACAAACTCCCCCACTCTCGCGCCCCCCCCGCCCTTGCCCTTCCCCAATCCTTCCCCCTTCCCCCCGCTTGCGCACTGCCCTTCCGCCGTCACCTGCGGCTGCCCCTCGTCTTTCCCCTTCCGCCCATTCTCCGCCTCCCCTGTCCCTCCCGCCACCGGCCTGTCGGTGAATCGCTGGCATTGGCGGCAGAACAGCACCGCGCGCCCGCTCGCGCGCGCCTCCGCCGCGGACATGGGCGGAGATAGCGCGGACGCGGACGGGGAGGAGGGGGAATGGGGGAAGGCAAGCGCGGGGAAAGAGAGGAGCGAGAGCGGCGCGCGGCAGTCGGGGCACAGCAGCTCCTCGTCCCCGCGCCCGCTACCCCCTCCGCCTCCGTCACCCGCTCCCGCCGCTCCGCCACCCCCGGCAACCACACCGTCGCTTCCGCCTCCCCCCACACCACCCCCGCCCTCCCCCCCATCCCCGCCCGCTCCCCTCTCCGCCGTCGCCGCTATTTCCACCCACACGGGCACCGCCCACGCTCCCCCCGGCCCTTCCAGGCGCGCGTTGGGCCACGCGGGGGTGAAGCTAGCGGCAATTCCGCTCCCTGTGCGACGAGGGTTGGGCGGGGCGGGGAAGCTGTTGAACGAGAGCGGGAAGTCGTCCGCCCATTCCGCTCCCTGTGCGACGATTCGAGGCGACGCCACGTCGGATCGCGACGATGCTGCGAAAGTGTGCGACGAAGGGACGAGGGCGTCAGTTGAGGCGACTGCTTCGTTTACCGAATAGTCCACGACGTACCCTTTATTAGTTTCTCTGTTACGATACACGTTCCGTCCTTCTCCCTCTGCGACGAACCAGCGACCACCGTGCGACGACGACATCGCGGGCGACACGTCGACGAACGGTCGCATGAAATCCTCGACTGGCTGCGACAGGCATCGCAGCGCGCGACGCCTTGACCTGTCGCCGTCGCTCGAACGAGAGCAACCGTCTCCTAAACCGTCTCGACCATCGGGGGAGACCCGAAACGCTGCCACGTCATTCGGTCCATCTGAGCAGCCGCCACGTGTCGAGAGCGCACGGGCGGACGTGTAACGACCCAGAAAACCCGCGGAGGAGGCGACGCTTACGGGTGGTAACGCTTTGCGACTAGCGGCGAGGGGATACGAGAGGCGAGCGGTGTGTAGGGCGAGGCGAGGGGTGTGTTGCGACGGTAGTGAGTGGCGGCGACGTGCGGGGATGGACGGTGCGACGCTCGGCGACGAGAGATTGGCGGCAGCCGACGACAGTCCGCGTCGCAGCAGCAGCAGCGAGGAGTAGGACGAGTAGGACGGCACGCGATTGGATTCTAGGGATGCTGACGTGGCGTAAGATAGGGTGCGCGATAACAGCGAAAGCGCTCGCCTTCTGTCCGCTCCTCCTCCCATTCTTTGCTCCCGGCTAGCTCGAGCCTGCCTGTCGTTAAAGGGATTCAAGCAACGAAATTGCGAGCAGTGGGTTGTGGCGGTTTGGGTAGAAAGGGATTAGTAATCTGCAGCGTGCGACGCGAGAAAGGCAAGAAGTGTTTACAGCGAGAGATTATAAATCCCGCTGCCCCTGGGCGCGCAGGGAAGCAGCGACTAACGAACGGCCTGCCGAGAACCGCGTTTGACGCGACGACGACAGCCCGAATACTAAGCGACTTCTCGCCGTTTCTCTACATGCACTATGTTAGCAGCAGAAAGTCCAGATTCGTGCTTTTGGATTGAGCCAAACTCTGCCTGCTGATGTGAGCCAAGGCAACCTACCACATCCGCTCGGAGGTATCTGTGTGACTCGTGACCTGTGAGGGAAGGGGCCAACATCACAGGCATGCAAAATAGTATGGTAACCCTATTCGATTGTATGCAAAACCGTCGATACCTCGGTTTTGGAGGTATTGACATATTGCTCTAGAATCGCGGTTCTATTGAATTCAAAAACGGAATTTTACCACGCTTTTCTTTCCTCTAAAATTCGATTTATTCGGGCGACTGTTCTGCCATATGAGCAACACTGTTCGCTACACCTGCAGAAAAAATAAAACCCAATCGGAAAGGGATGCAACTCGGGAGGCATCAACCCTAAAAACAATGCCCTTTCCCGTGTTTAGGGTTGATCCCTCCCTGAAATGAGTCCAGGTCTCTAGTGGTTTTATTTTTTTTCTTGCCTGCCCTGACAGTACCCGGTAGTAATATATATATTACTTTCATTCCAACGAAGTTTTCGGTCGAAATTATCGTGCACATTCGACGGAAAATAGTTGCCCGCAGGAATCGTTGTCAGGCGCCAAACAAGACGCGGTAAGAATAGAATGAAGCGAAATCGAAAGCGTAATCGATTGTTGCACGTATTGCTTCCTTTTTGTGCTGCGTCAGCTGTTACACAGTGTTTTGAGTGGCGGTACCAGACAGATTTGCGCAGTGGAACTGGGGTATCGACGGTTTTGCATACAATCGAATAGGGTTACTAGACTGTTTTGCATGCCTGTGATGTTGGCCCGTGAGGGAAGTGAGTCGGGAAGGGTGTTGCTTGCTTGTCCCCTTTTATTTTTGCGAACGGAGACCAAGCAGCAACTTTCGGAAAAGGGGGGGAAAGGCAGCATGGCTCGCAACGCAAAAACATTTACTGCTCGAGTAGCTAACTCCCCCTGTAGAGTGTAGAGTCTCTAAGCACCGCCAGGAATGAGGAGAAATACTGTCTTGAAACTCGGAAACACGTTTCGCAAACTTTAACTAGTGTCACTTTTCCAAACAGATTACCCCTGCTTTGACAGCGTGGAAAGATCAGCCCGTGACATGCTATGCGTGTCAAGGTGCGCACAAAACCTGACCTGATATTTCATTGGCTCAGGGAGTATCTCATTCAACCAATAAAACAGTTTCCCCCCTACACCTCCACTTCTCCCAGCAACCAATCCAATCGGGCATTGGTACGATTGTACGTCTATGAGATAAATTCGTACGTCGTATAAATCTCTTGGTTTACCGAGTGTTTCTGAATCGAGGACAACGCCGCACCTAGAACCTACAGATATCATCCAGCCCTCCCGACTGTGCCTTTTAGATTTGATCAGCTTCGCCAGCTGTAGTTGCAGTCTGGCCGCTGCGCTCCCTCCTGCTGTCTAGCGTCACCTCTGTTGTCTCTCCCCACTTGAATCTCACCGCGTTCCAGGGCCGTGCCCGTGGCAATAAGCCAAACATTAGCGGTGAGGGCCGGCGAAATGGCCAGCATTGTTCGTCCGTTGTTCCGAGCCGCGGCTCTGCCCAACCGGTTAGTCTGTAGAAGCAATTCGAACCAATCCTTACCAATGCGCACATACGATCCCATCCTCCTTCCTTCGTCCACTCCCCTCCTGCCACGTGTCACGCGCGGAAGCCCCGCCATCGCCGGCGTCCGCACCAGAATAGGGCAGGCGCGCGCACTGGCAGCGGCAAGCTCGCAGGGCGGAGCGGAAGCGAGTGGCGGAGCGGGCGCGGGGGGCGCGGAAGGCGAGGTTGGCGCGGGGAGCGGGCCGCGGCTGGTGATATACAGCCGCGAGGGGTGCTGCCTGTGCGACGGGCTGAAGGAGAAGATCGACACGGCGCTGATGATGGGAACTGAGAGCAGTGCGCTGGAGGGACTGCAGATTGAGGTGCGTCGAAGGGGGAATGCGGGGGGGGGGGGGGGGGGGGAGAGGAAATGGGGGAGAAAATCGACACGGCGCTGCTGATGGGGACTGAGAGCAGCGCGCTGGAGGGATTGCAGATTGAGGTGCGGGCGTGGTGGGGGGGAAAGGGAGAATGCGCATGGGGAAATGTGGGAGATACGCGGGAGGGGGGGGGGGGGGGGGGGGGAGAAGATTGATACGGCGCTGCTGATGGGGTCGGAGAGCAGTGCTCTCGAGCGATTGCAGATTGAGGTGCGCAGGAGGGTGGGAGAGGGGGAGGAGGGGGGAAGGGGGAGAGGCTAGGGGATGGGGTGGGGATGATGGGGGAGAGGAAGAGGGGAAGGAGTGTTGGGGAAGGTCAAGACGGCGCTGCTGCTGAGTGGGTCGGAGAGCACCGTGGGTCAGAGAGCACCGTGGGTCGGAGAGCAGTGCAGGTAGAGGTGCGCTGGGGAGAAACCCATCAAAATCCCCCATTCTCCATTCCCCATTCCCCCATTCTCCATTCCCCATTCCCCCATTCTCCATTCCCCATTCCCCCATTCTCCATTCCCCATTCCCCATTCCCCGTTCCCCATCCCCCATTCCCCATTCCTCATTCCCCATCCCCCGTTCCCCATCTCCCATTCTACATCCCCCATTTTCAATCTCACATTCCCCATCCCCCATTCCCCACCACCCATTCCCCATCACCCGTTCCCCATTCTCCTTTCCCCATTCCCGCACCCCCCATTCCCCATGCCCCATCCCCCGTCCCCCATTTCCCATCCCCCATTCCCCATCCACCACTCCCTATTCCTCAATCCTCATTCCCCCCCTCACCATCCCCCGCTCCCCTTCCCCCATGCCCCATGCCCCAACCACCCCTTCTCATTCTTTATCCACCATCCCCAATTTCCCAACCACCATTTCCCCCGTCCCCCATCCCCCGATCCCCCTTCCCCGTCCCCCATTCCCCAGCCACAAATCCCTATTCCCCCTTCCCTGTGTATGTGCACGCACTGTGGCAGGTGCGCGACATAACAGCGAGGCAGGAGTGGATGGAGGCTTATCAGTACTCGTCTTGCCATAAATTGACACATTCCCTTTCCCATGGCTTGTCTGTGCATGTGCTCTTCCCCTGTGCATGTGCACGCAGGTGCGCGACATAACAGCGAGGCAGGAGTGGATGGAGGCATATCAGTACGAGATTCCAGTCATGATGAGAGTGACGGTGGACCAATCAGGGAACGCTGTAGAGGTAGGCCTACTTGCTCTCTTAGATGGATGCATACCAGTATGATGCGCGGGACGGTGGACCAATCAGGGAAGGATGATGAGGTCAGCATGCTTGCATGCTGCTTGGCAGTGCCACCCTCCTACCTTGCTTGACATCCTTCGACATCTCACTTATATATATATATTTATATATATTTTGTGTAAATATATGTATATACATATATATGTACAGATATATATATATGTGTAAATATATGTATGTATATATATCAGCTCCCTCCCTTCCCTTCCCCCTCCCTCCCTCCCTCTCTCCGCCCCTCTCCCAGACCCTCACTGTTGGAAACAGAATTGAGACGAGTGACTGAACTGAAAGGGCCGGGTGGCACAAATAGCTAACCTTAATCTAGGCTAACAAATCTAGCACAAACAATTTGACACTCATTCCCCGTCAGTCTCCCCGCGCATCAGTGGAGCGAGTGAGGGAGGCACCAGAGGTAGAGGCTGACTCTTAAGTGGCTACCCCCATTCCTCCCTCCATCCTCCCTCCCACTTGTCCTCCCTCCCCTCCAGACCCTCATTCCCCGCCAGTCACTCCGGGCATCAGTGGAGCGAGTGAGGAAGGTGCTAGAGGCTAACTCTTAAGTGAATTCCCCCTTTCATTTCCCCACCTCCCTCCTCCCACCCGCCCCCTCCTCCCCCCCAGACCCTCATTCCCCGCCAGTCACTCCGGGCATCAGTGGAGCGAGTGAGGAAGGCACTAGAGGTTAACTCTTTGGTGAATCCCCCCTTTCATTTCCCCACCTCCCTCCTCCCACCCGCCCCCTCCTCCCCCCCAGACCCTCATTCCCCGCCAGTCAATCCGGGCATCAGTGGAGCGAGTGAGGAAGGCACTAGAGGTTAACTCTTTGGTGAATCCCCCCTTTCATTTCCCCACCTCCCTCCTCCCACCCACCCCCTCCTCCCCCCCAGACCCTCATTCCCCGCCAGTCACTCCGGGCATCAGTGGAGCGAGTGAGGAAGGCACTAGAGGTTAACTCTTTGGTGAATCCCCCCTTTCATTTCCCCACCTCCCTCCTCCCACCCGCCCCCTCCTCCCCCCCAGACCCTCATTCCCCGCCAGTCACTCCGGGCATCAGTGGAGCGAGTGAGGAAGGCACTAGAGGTTAACTCTTTGGTGAATCCCCCCTTTCATTTCCCCACCTCCCTCCTCCCACCCACCCCCTCCCCCCCAGACCCTCATTCCCCGCCAGTCACCGCGGGCATCAGTGGAGCGAGTGAGGAAGACACTAGAGGCCGCATTCTCAAGTTAAAGCTAAGGCCCGCCTCCTCCCTCTGCACATGCTCTCAGTGCCAGCTGCCATAGGTTCTTCTGTTCCTTCAGTTGACATTTGACGAAAGCACATGGCAACAGGGCCGGCTACGGCTAGCATTGGTTCTGTTGTTGATGGTCAAAACAAATAAAAAGGCAGCACCCCTTATCCTGAGACTGAATTTCATGAAACTTTTGCTCAGACCTCTGCATACCTTTTATCGTCCTCCAGATCCTGTTCAGTCCTCTTCATAAGCACCCCAAATTATGCTCTCTAGGCCAGGACTTGTCAGCAGTCCTGTCACCTGTGTATAATGCTCTAATAGATTGCAATGAAGGAAGAAATTTGTAGTCTTTGATTGCATTCATTCATTTATTCCTTTTGTTGCTCAAAGTACAGGTCAGGTTATTTCCTGAATTAATACAAGCCAGCTAGGCTTATCACCAGCTAGGCTATCTCCCCCGCATAAGCACATGCACTTGGTCACTGACAACAGGTCCCGACAGCACAACCGAGCTTCCCGCCTTTTTTTTCCCGCCGATCGTCGCGCCGCGCCTGTCTTCTCCTCCCCATTGGATTGCTTTTCGGGAGAAATTGGTTGGGTTGGGATGGGAAAGACCGAGAGAATCCGCGGTTCTTGGGAACGCCTTCCAGTCGAATTCAAGAGCCAGATTCTGAAACTGGGTGCACTGAGAGCTATCTTCGAGGTACCAGAAACTGAGGCACTGATCACTAGAGACCTAGAAAGCACTGGGGATTACGAGAAGTCTCAAGAATACTGGAAATATTGGACTTGACTAGACCTGACACTGTGTAAACTGGGAGAGATGGGAGCGTGAGTAGGTTAGTTCGACGTTGGATATTGAACCTACGATTTAGGAGGTCGGGTAGTTATCCAGGGTAGTACCGTGTTAGGCGTGACGTAACCGCAGCAATGCGCGCTCCGTCTTCCGCACTCGCGGAGATCGCGCAGCGCGCGTGCGCGACATCCCCGGCGGCCATGAGCAGGCGCGACTCCGCGGAACAAAACTCGAAGCCCGTTTCTAGGTCAGGCACGCCGGATCCCCGTTTCGACAAATCCAACGGCGGAGATGTGCCGATACCGTTGTACCACAAACCGCGGGGCAAGCGGGAAGGCCTGATCTACCGGCTCGTGGCGTTACTGCTGCAGCTGCGCCTGTCCTCCGCATCCGTTGTTCTCTCTTTGCTGGCGATTCTCCTCGTGTTGTTAGCGGTGGTCGGCCGGAGAGGGACCGATGCGAGTTTGCAATTTGGCGATAACTTACTGGCGGGTAGTGAGGGCATAGAGGTGAGACCGACCGTCGCAGGTGACGCAGGCGACGCGGGAGAGATGACGTGGATGGAGGTGGAGCGGCTCGCGAGGGGCGGCGCGCGAGCGCAGGACCGGTTCGGGTTCGGAAGCCTGAAAGGCGACGGGGGGAGCGAGAATGTTGAAACGCTCGCAACGAGCGGAGAGAAAGGTACGAGCGAGAAGGGCGAGACGGGCGAGGTGGTCGGGAGTAGCGGCATTTCTGCGGTTGACTCGGTTGACTGGGTTGACTTCAAAAACTTGGTTGTTCACGCGGCAATCGATCTCCCGGACTTTATCCTCGTCCTTCTGCGGCCACTGGCTCCATCTAACCCGCCAAAATCCGACGTGGCAGCTGGTTACACGGCCGCTGACGTGGCAGCTGCCGCTGGTAATCGATCTTCTGAGGAAGCCTCTAGCGGAATTTTTAGGAACGCTCGGTTCGGCCGGGCTCGAGTGTCGCAGGAGCAGCTGGAGCGGATAAAGGGGATGGAGTGCAGCTTCGGGGAAGGCTCGCTGACTGCTCGCACGAGGGTGCTACAGGTGTCGGCTGATGGGCTCGACGCTGTGGGCGACGTCGGCGACTTGAGCGACGTGAGCGATGCGAGCGACGTGGGCGACGAAAGAAGCAGCAGCAGTGGGGGCAACAGCGATAGCAGCAGGGACAGGGCGGAGGGGGCGACGGGGGGAAGCAGCAGGCGACGGTTGGCGACTGTAGGAGTGTCGCAGGAGCAGCGAGGGGACACCGGAGTGGGGGTGCAAGGGGCGGCCGGCGAGAAGGCAGGCGGGAACGGGACGAGGGAAGAGGGAAGGAGAGGGATGGGAGAAAGGCAGGTGGGAGGGATGGAAGGAGGGAAGGTCGGAGAGGCGATTATTGGTGTTATCTACGTGCACTGCGCTCGGCCCGCAGGGGAGATTGCGACGGTAGCTGCAAACACAGGCAATAGCAGCAGCAGTAACAGCACCAGCAGCGGGAGCAGTGACAGCAGCAGCGGTGGCAAGGGTGTGCAACTGACGCTAGAAGACAAGGCAGGCGGGCGGCTGGGCGGCTCAGTCGTGTGGCAAGCGCTGAACCACAAAAAGAGGCCGCCGCCCCTAGTGTACGATGCAGTGACGGTGCGGAGGCGGGAGAGGAAGGGGAGGGAGGGGAGGGAGGGGAGGGGGAGAGGTTATGATGGGAGGGAGGAGAAGGGAGATACAGTGGAAGGGGAAGAGGGGGAGGAGAGGGAGGGGAGGGAGGGCGTGTATCTGTTCGTGAGGGGCCTGCAGACCAACCCGCACCTGCCGCCTGTGCTGGCCAATGTGACGTGCGTGTTTGGCGCGGATGGGGGGATTGGGGGGGCTGGCGCAGGAGGAAGCGGCGGCAAGGGCGAAAGGGGCAATGATTGGGGAAGTGTCAGTGAGGGGGCGGAGCAGGAGGGGCTCTTGCGAGTGCCGGCGCGGGCTGCTGCTATGGAGGTGGTGTTCTGCCCTCTGCCCGCCTATGTTGGTGCTGATGGTGGTACTGCCAACAGCAGCAGCAGCGGCAGCAGCAGCAGGGACGGCACTGGGGTGGGTGCAGCAGGGAAGGTCGCAGATTTAACCATGCGGGCAGTGACGGTGGAGTATGAGGGGCGGCTGTTCCCGTCTGTAGCGCTCTTTGACCCTGTTGACCCGTTTGACCAGCCCGAGGCGCCTCACGGGCAGCAGGAGGGGGGCGAAGGATCCAACGGTCAGCATAGCAGCGATGGGAGTCGGTTTGGTGATGTTTTGAATACTGACAGTGCTGGTAATGGCAGTAGTACGAATGTGGGGTCTAAACAGGATGCGGGAGTGGAAGCAGCAGAGGAGGTGGGAGACAGCATGGTGGGTCAAAGCGGACTGAATGGGATAGTGGGGAATAAGAGGAGGAGGAAGGAGAAACCGCACTTTGTGTGCATGTGCACGATGATTTTCAATGTGGGTAAGTTTCTGCGCGAGTGGGTGGTATACCACCACTGGATGGGCGTGGATCGGATCTTCCTGTATGACAACAACAGCGAGGACAACACGACAGCTGTCGTCGCCAGCCTGGCAGCGGACGGCGGCGCTCGGCTGGTTGTGGGCACGCCGGCCGGCCAGGCTGCGGCTGCGGTGGTGGCAGAGGCGGCAGCACCGGGAGGGGGAGGGGGAAAGGAGGGACGGTTAGGAGGGCTGGAAGGTGGCGCTATGGCAGGAGGGGAGGCGGGGATTGAGGGGGCGAAGTGGTGGGTGCGGGCGGGCTTTGTCGGCTCTACTCAGAACCAAAGCCACGGCGCATCTCCATCACTTATAGAGCCTTCTTCCCCCTCCTCAGTCTCCTCCTCTTCCACCTCTTCGTCGTCCTCCTCCTCCTACTCCTCCTACTCCTCCTCCTCCTCCTCCTCCTCCGCCCCTCACTCTCACCCCTCCACTCCAGTGGTAACCGTACACCCGTGGCCGTGGATCAAGTCGCAGCAGGCGGGGTTCTCCCACTGTGTGCTGCGGGCAGCGCGGCAGTGCGAGTGGGTTGGCTTCATAGACGTTGACGAATTCGTTGCCTCCAAGTTCATCGCACATATCGCTGAGAAAAGGAAGGATTTGGGGGAGGAGGTGCGGGAGAAGGGGGTTTTCATTCCGCATTTGCTGAGACGGGTGGTGAGGGCGAGTGAGAAGGAGATTGAAGAGGTGGTTGCGAGGAAGGTGGGTGGGGAGGGGGGGGGAGGGGAAGGGAGGAGGGGAAGGGGGGAAGGGTGGGAGCAGGCGGAGGAGAATGGCGGGTGGTGGCAGGCGGGAGGTGCGGGGTGGAGGGGATGGGGAGGAGAGGCGGATGGGCGGGGGTGTGAGGGAGAGAGAGGGGGAGGAGGTGCGAGGTGTGGCAGGAGCAGCAGATGTGGCAGGTGCAAGGGAGAGTGGAGGCGTGGGGGGAGGTGTGGGTCGGAGACTGCTTGCTGGTGGTGATAGGGGTGAGGGTGAGGGTGGGGGTGAGGGTGAGGGTGAGGGTGAGGGTGAGGGTGGGGGTGAGGGTGAGGGTGAGGGTGAGGGTGAGGGTGAGGGTGGGGGTGAGGGTGAGGGTGAGGGTGAGGGTGAGGGTGGGGGTGAGGGTGAGGGTGAGGGTGAGGGTGAGGGTGAGGGTGAGGGTGAGGGTGAGGGTGGGGGTGGGGGTGAGGGTGAGGGTGCGGAGTTCAGGAAAAGCAGCAAAGGGAGTAAGGCAGGAAAGGGAGAAAAGAGCAAGAAGAGCAAGTCGAGCAGGGGTAGCAAGAAGGACGAAGGTGATAAGGAAATGAAAAAAGGAAAAGGGAAAGGTAGTAAAGGGGGCAAACGCGATGGGAAGCAGGCCAAGAAGAATAAACAGGCAAACGAAGAGGAAGAAGAGGAGGAGGATAAGGAGGAGGGGGTGACGAAGGGGGGCCTGGAGACGAAGACAAAGAAGAGGAAGAGGGAATGGCAGGAAGGTGACAACGAAAGCAGAAGCGACAGGGACAGTGACAGCGGCAGGAAGAGCACGGCAGGAGGCAGCATGGAGAATGAGAGAGCCGAAGACGATGTGCGGCCGCTGGGGCAGATCTCCTTCCCCTGTGTGGACTTCGGCCCCTCAGGCCTCACAGAGCACCCCCAGCAGGGGGTCTCGGTGGGGTACACGTGCCGTGCGCGCAAGCCCGACCGCCACAAATCGTTTGTGCGGCCCGAGGCCGTGGCGGATTCACTGCTTTGCCACATCCACCAGTTCGAGCTCAAGGAGGAGAAATATCGAAGTCAAGTGTTTTCCGGGAGGGTGCGACTGGCGAATATCAACCACTACAAGTTCCAGGTGGGTGGGTTGTGCTGTGCTCCTTGAAGGGCTTGCTGCCGTGCCACATCCACCAGTTTGAGCTCAAGGAGGAGCGGTACCGCAGCCAGGTGTTTTCGGGGAGAGTGCGACTGGCGAACATCAACCACTGCAAGTTCCAGGTGGGTGGGTGGAGGTAGGCGGGTGGGTTGATGGCTGCCCTTGACTTAGTGAGTCTCAACCACTAGTAGTTCCAGGTGGGTTGTGCAGTGGGAAGCGTGAAATGTGCGTTGGTAATCCGAATCCACCTCAGGTAGTCCCATTGCCCCCCTGTTTCTCTCGTGCAGTCCCATTGCCCCCCTGTTTCTCTCGTGCAGTCCCGTTGCCCCCCTGTTTCTCTCGTGTCCTCTGTCTGTGCCAAGTATCGGCGGCGAGTCGCGACATGCACCAAGGACTGGAAGGGGGCGAAGCACAACAGCAACGGCATAATAGCTCAGTGCAGGGACGTTCGAGTTAAACTCAAAATTTTCCTCACTAGCCATGCCCTCCCCTTGCTTCTGCGTTGTCCTGTCAGGTGTGGGACGAGTTTAAGGCCAAGTATCGGCGGCGAGTGGCAACATACACCAAGGACTGGAAGGGGGCGAAGCAAAACAGCAACGATTTAATACCTGGGCTGGGGACAGATGCAGTGGAGCCTCCTGATTGGGCGGGTCGGTTCTGCGAGCGCAACGACACCGTGTTGAGGGATTTTGTGAAGCTGGCCTTCGCTGTGAAGGACGGGAAAGGAGAGGATCGGAGGAATCGGACGTGTTTGGCGTGGGAGTGAAGGAAATCCATCCAGCAGTAATTGTATAGAATTTAGGCAGCCAACATCAGTACCGTAGCATGGTTAGGAAAGTATTCTCTACTAAAAACTATCCTAAACTTGATTTGTATGAAGTGGCTTGCTTAGTGATGCGAGCGAGTGCAGTACAGAAGGTAATCAAAATATTGTACATAAACATTTTTCCCGATTCACTGCATCATCCGATTCCGGGTACCCACACATAGAGACTGCCCTTAGCGAACCGTTCCATCGGGGTGCTTGTTCAGCTGCTCTTGAACGTGTCGAACACCTATTAGTGCATATCGTATGCGAACCTGGTGAGTCACCGATTCGTCACTTATTCCGTCAGCATCAGACTCGGGCAGACACTCCAAGTCTTACAGAGTTTTACGGTAAAACTTTTACCTGCTCTGCTCTGGTCTGGGGTGTCGCTGCGCGTGGGGGCCATGGCTGCCGCTTGCGCCTCGCATTCGCCCGCCCCCGTGCTGATTCCTCCGTCGATCTCTCCGCCGATTCTTCCGCTGATTCCTCCGCTGCCCGATGACGTCAGCATCGCGTGCCTGGCTCGCCTCAATCTCTGGGACCTCGCGGTCGCGCGCTGCGTCTCCCGCGGCTGGGCGGCGGCGATTGCGAGCGACGCGTTCGCGCAGCAGCGGCGGCGGCAGCAGGCGCTCGGCGCGCAGAGGGTGCGGAGGGTGGTGACGCGCCACGGGGCGGACTGCGCGTCATGCGCGCAACGCGCGGATTGCGCGGAATGCGCGTCGTCCTCTACGTGCTGCCCACACAGGGACGCCCGCGATTGTATAGAAGGTAGAAGCGAATGTGATGTTAACGGGGTAAACGGCTATGTGTGTCTGTGCGCGGCGAGCAGGCGGCATCCCGGCCGCCTAGACTGGTTCGCCTTCGACCTCTCCGCTCCTTCGCGCGCCGCCGACGCCCTTCCCCCCGCCTCCGCCGCCTCCGCCGCTTCCGCCGCCGATTGCGGCGGCAGCAAGGGAACGCGATGGACGTTTAGCGGAAGCGCCTGTAACGAATCGCGTCGGAACGCGGAGGGCGCAGGAAGCTCCTGTAGCAGCGGCGGCAGCAGATTCCGACTGTCAGCATGTGGACGGTCAGGATGCGGCGGGCTCTGTGGATCCAATGGTTACGGAAGATGGCGCCGGCTGCCGCCCATCCCGCCGTCCAATCCGCACGGGTCGCAGCGCTGCCGCCATTTCTCAGTCGCCGCCATTCCCGGTTGGGGCCTCGCGATTGCAGGGGGAGTGGTACTGGGGACGGGAGAGGCGGTCCGCCACGTGTCACTGTTTGATTGGCTGGCGGGGCGGTGGGTGCAGGTGCAGCATGAGGGGTTTTCAGCGCGGTTGGATCCGGTGGTGGTGTGGGCGGGGGGGAGGCTGTTCGTGGGGGGAGGAGGGGAGATCGGGGGAAAGGGGAAGATGGGCGGAAGGGGGAACGTTTGGGGCGCAGGTATGGGCGGAGTGCAAGGAGGGGGAGAAGTGGAGGGGGAGAGGATGAGGTGTGAGGGGGGAAACACAGGCAGAGAGGGGGAGGGGAAGGAAGAGGGGATGAGGGATATTCCAGTGAGCGAAACAACATCTGTCATTGAGCTGCCCGCGCTGGTACCCAAACTACCCACGCCACCCACACAACCCACAGAACCTAAGCTACCCACGCCCATCAACCCCTCTGTGAATCTGGGCCTTCCCACACACCCTGGGGATTCTCCTGCCCATGCCATTGCCAGCTCCTCTGATGCCACTCTCTCCCCCCTCTCCACAGCCCCCTACTCCTCCTCCTACTCCTCCTCCACCTCTGCGTCTTCTTCCTCCTTGCTGTCCTCCTCCCCCGCATCTCTTCAATCCCCATCCTCCTCCTCCCCCACATCCTTACCCCCTTCACCCTCACTCTCGCCTTCAAGCACACCAATGCCAATAACCAGAGTGAATGTAACAACCGCACTTCACCCCTCCATCTCCCCCCGCTCCTGCGACATCATCCGTGCTGGTAACCGCGTGTACGCGCGTTACCGCCACCGCCTCACCTGCTTCTCCGACCACCCCACGTCCCCCTCAGCCGCCCCTGCTACAGCTGCTGCTACAGCCAGTGCCAGTGGTGGCGGGTGTGTGCTACAGCTGGATGTGAGCAGTGGGAGGTGGAGCCTCGCCCCCCCATGCGACCCTATCCACCGCCTAGCTACGGCTGGCATGCTCGCTCTGATACCATCATTGCCTTGTGCACACACACGCTCCCCCCACGCTCTGATACCACCATCGCCTTGCCCACGCTCATGCTCCCATGCTCTGATACCACCATCAGATTCTATACACACGTGCAGCCATGCCCCCCTGCGGCCCTCTTCGTGTGCACATCGCCATGCATGTGGCTGGGCGGGCGGCGCTACAGTGGCAGCGGTACAGCATAGCTTGTCTCTTCTGCTGCTACAGGGCGAGCCAAACGCCTCTCCCTGCAAAACCCCCTGCACTGCTTGCTCCAAGCAGCATCAGCGGCAGCTAGAAAATCAGGAACACCAAGGGAGGTGGGATGTGTGGCGAGAAGGAGCATGCGTATGGGAGATGGCAGGGGGAGCAGCGGGAGGAGGAGGGGGAGGAGAGATTCTGTGGGGGGCGCAGTTGAAGCAGGTGGTGGTAGCGGGGGGAAGGCTGTTTGCGCTCGTGCTGCTGGTGGACCGAGGGAGGCATGAGATGAGGGAGATGGGTGTGCATGGGAAGCTCGCAGGTGTGGTGGGGCCGGGAATAGAGCTCCCAGGGGAGGCATATGTGGCGCATGCGGTGGGGCTGTGTCTCTAAGTACGGTGCATTGGGTTGGGGTGGTGTATTGTGCTGCTGGTGGACCGAGGCAGGCATGAGATGAGAGAGATGGGCGTGCATGGGAAGCACGCAGGTGTGGTGGGACCGGGGATTGAGCTCCCAGGGGAGGCATATGTGGTGCATGCGGTGGGGCTATGCGTCTAGATTCGGTGCATTGGGATGGTGTATTGTGCTCCTGGTGGATCGGGGCAGGCATGAGATGAGGGAGATGGGCGTGCATGGGAAGCAGGCTGGCGTGGTGGGCCGGCGGTGGAGTTGCCAGGAGAGGCGTATGTGGCGCATGCAGTTGGCCTGTGTGTCTAGGTACGGTGCATTGGGGTGGTGTATTGTGCTGCTGGCAGACCGAGGCAGTTAGAGATGAGGGAGATGCAAGGGAAGCGTATGTGGCGCATGCGATGAGGGCTGTGCGTCTAGATACGGTGCATCGGAGTCTGGTTAGCTTGAATGCGCCCGGCATGAGGTGAGGGATATGGGCATGCGTGCATGAGAGGCATGCGATTTACATACACCGAGAGTGACAACAAGTGCTGTTTGCAGTCAGGGAATGCTATGCAGTGAAAGGCAGGTTGGATTGAAGAACCTGGGTGGGTGTAGGAGTGTGTTGGAAACATGTAGTTTGCGCTTCTGATGTGTCGAAGCATTAAATCATAAGCGAGGCAGACTACAGTGAAGCAACAGCGAGTCAACCGAAGAGGGTGTCTAAAGGCCTCAATATCCTACACCTAGTTTATAGAAGACAATGCATTGCACTTGAGGTGTTAAAAAAATAAAACAGCTCCACAACTGTACAATAGCAGGTCACCAATACGTAGCACGTTTAGTACCATGTAGTTTTCTCGGCGTCTCTGGTCTCTTGTATCGCACCGGAAGCACCTAAAAACGAATACTTCCAATTCCAACCCTATTTCCCCACGCACAAAATTACTCAGGGTTCTGGTCTGGACTTCGGGTTTTCACTTTCCACCTTCAGTTCCGCTCCGCTTAGAAACAACTGACAGTCGGATTAGTCGTTCGTTTTCCACGAAACTTTTGCGAGCAAGTAACAGCAGTCTCAATACCTGTTGCGACTATGGCCTTTTCTCCCGCTGCGACCCGGTCCGTAGGGAAGGGCAAACAGTGGCCGAAGAGAGGCGGAGCAGGCAGCTCGCCATACGCGCGGGGCGGTGGGGGAACAGTGGACGAGGGGCACAAAGGGGAGGAAATTGGCGAAAGGGGTGGTAGTGGGGAGGGGGGGGTGCCGGATAGCGGGCGGAAGGAGGAAGCGGCGGATGGCGCGCGGAAGGAGGCAGGGGCGGAAGTGGGGCGAAAAGATGCAGCGGGAGGGGAGGCGGGCCGGAGTGACGTGGATAGAAACACGGTGTTTGTGCGCAACGTCTCGTTTAAAGCCACACAGAGCGATGTGGGTGTCTATTTCAGTGCTGAGTGCATCTCTTACCGCGGACGAATTCCCTCTAGCGTTACTCGCAGGTCGAGGGGATTTACGAGTTTATCCCTGTGCATACGCGTTATTGGCTCTTTGTCGTATCCGAGCGAGCCGCTGGGCCTTCTGAAAACCTATTTGACAATGCAAACAGCAAGAGCACGTTAAGTCGTTCAACCCTAATCCCTTCAGCCTGAAGGGTTTTTCTTGACTGTGGGTGCCATCCAAAAGTGCTTCCCAGTGGCACAGCGATGATCAATACTGTGTGTATTTCCCTCCTCTCCACTCCATCCAAGTAACCTTCTCACGTCGCGTCCCTTTTGAACCCAAAACCCTTGAACACAACACACCCCACCCCTATCCTTGCAGCTAGAGGGTTATTTTCTCGACTGTGGTTGCGATTCGAAAGTGCCTCCTTGTGGCACGGAGATGATCAATACTGAGTGCATTTCCCTCCCCTCCCCTCCAAGTAACCTCCTCACCTCGCGTCCCTCTCCCGCCCCATCCCTCCCACCCCCCTCCCCCTCCCTTGCAGCTGGAAGATTTTTTCTCTACGGTGGGCGCTATCCGAAAATGCCTCCTTGTGGCACAGACAGCCGCAGCACTGAATGCCTTATCCCAGCCTTCTTCCTCCTCCGTCTCATCAACCCCCACCTCCACACGCATTCCCCTCCTACCCGCAGCTCGAGGGTTTTTTCTCGACGGTGGGCCCTATCCGAAAGTGCTTTCTGGTGGCACAGAGAGGTGCGTCACTGCCTCCTTTACTGATGGGGATAATTTCTATTTGCACCTCCTGTATCGACGGGGAGAAGTGCTTTTTGTACCTCCTTTATTAATGTGGATAAGTGCTACGTTCTTTATTGATAGGGATACGTGCTACATTCATATGGCCTACATTAGCTTTGATTAATTCCCCTCCCCTGCCTTTCATCCGTCCTCTCATCTCCTCCTCTCATCTCTTCCTCTCATCTACCCCTCCCATCTGCCCATCCCATCTGCCCCTCCCCATCTGCCCCTCCCCATCTGCCCCTCTCATCTGTAATCTCATCTGCCCTCTCGTCTGCCCTCTCATCTGCTCCTCTCATCTGCTCCTCTCGTCTGCCCTCTCATCTGCTCCTCTCATCTGCTCCTCTCATCTGCTCCTCTCATCTGCTCCTCTCGTCTGCCCTCTCATCTGCTCCTCTCATCTGCTCCTCTCATCTGCTCCTCTCATCTGCTCCTCTCGTCTGCCCTCTCATCTGCTCCTCTCATCTGCTCCTCTCATCTGTCCTCTCATCTGCTTTCTCATGTGTGGTGATTTCATTTGCACTTCAGGCGCGGAAACACATCGAGGAATGGGATTCGTGCAATAGTGAGTGCAGCTCGCGTCTGTTTCTTGCGCCATGGGTGATTCTTCCTGCTCATGTGTCTTGAAAATCTATGGTTCCAATCCACATTTAGTGTTCTTGCATGGTTCTTCACCCCTTCTTTCTTGCACCCCCAACCAACCTGAGCATGCCTGTCAAACCTGAGGGAGCATGTCCTTTTGCACCCCACCTCGCATTTCCTTGCAGGCAACTTCCTGCATCCCTCCCATTGACCTCGCCCTTTTCTGCCTCCAACCTCCCCACCTTCCGATTCCCAACCCGACCGACCAGAACGCTAGCAGAGGACGCAGAGAGGGCAGTGAGAGAGCTTGGAGGGAAGCGGCTGGAGGAGGGCATACCCACTGACCCGCCGCACATCTTACTCTCCTGCCTCCAACCTCCCCACCTCCCGGTTCCCAACCCAACCAGCGTGCTAGCAGAGGACAGAGATAGGGCAGTGAGAGAGCTTGGAGGGAAGCGGCTGGAGGGTATACCCACCCGCTGACCCGTCGCGCATCTTACTTATCACAGCTCCTTGCTTCGTCTTGCACTCCCTGCTAACTGGTACCTGCTTTTCCTCCTGCCCACCCTCTTACCCGCCACCATCCATCAGCGCTCTAGCAGAGGACGCAGAGAGGGCAGTGAGGGAGCTCGGGGGAAAGCGGCTGAGAGCGCATAGCTCCTTGCTTCCGCTTGCACCCCCTGCTAACCAAACCGGTACCCCCTCTTCCTCCCGCCCCCGCCCCCACCATCCACCAGTGCGCTAGCAGAGGACGCGGAGAGGGCAGTGAGGGAGCTCGGGGGAAAGCGGCTGGAGGGGCGACCCCTGGCAGTGGAGCTGGCGAAGAGGCGAGCTTCTCTGGGCGAAAGGTTGGCTAAACGAGGCCCGCGCCCGCAACGTGAGTGAACAAGGCGAGGACATTTAGTTAGCAGGTGGAGAGGCGAAGCGTTTCTTGGGTGGCTGGAGGGGCGACCTCTGGCAGTGGAGCTGGCGAAGAGGAGAGCTTCTCTGGGCGAACGGCTGGCCAAACGAGGCCCGCGCCCGCAAGGTGGGTGGGGAAACGGAGGCAGGTAGGGCACTTATGATCTAGCATGGGGGGCAGTATTGCCTGGGAGGGAAAGCGGCTGGAGGGGCGACTTTTGGCAGGAACTGGCCAAGAGGGGGCCGCGACCGCAAGGTGAGTGGGGGAAGGGCAGGCAGGAGAACTAGCAAGGGAAGGGAAAGGGTGGCTGGAGGGGAGACCTTTGGCAGTGTAGCTGGCGAAGAAGAGAGCGCCTATGGCTCTGAGGGACAGGCTGGCTAAGCGAGGGCCGTGACCACAAGGTGAATGGGAGGAGCAGGAAGACAGCAGGCGGAGAGCGGGCAGGGCAACTAGCTCGAAAAGGGCGGCCTTTTCGAGCTAGGGAGCGGCTGGCAAAGGGCTGCAAATGGAAGGTGAGGAGCAGCTGGTCGCCTGCTGTTTTCCTTGGAGATCTCTCAAGAATCGCTCACAAGGAGCGGTGTGATGGTTGGTTGCTAGCTCTCTCCCTTGCTTCCATCCATATCCCCTTGGAGATGTCTCAAATTATGGTCGCTAGCTCTCTTTCTTGCATCCATCTCCCTCCCTTCTCCGGCTCCAGTCTCTCTCTTGGTTTCTGCAGCCCATCAAGTGGAGGACCAGACCAGGATGACTTGACCGGGTTGCAAGGGCTGGGGAGAAGCAGCGGTGGTGCTGCTGCTCTTTCTGCTGCTTTAATTCCTTGCTCCCACCCACCCACCCCTCTCTCTGTGCCTGCAGCCCATCAAGTGGAGGACCAGGATGATCTGACTGGCCTGCATGGGCTGGGGAGGAGCAACGTGATGGTTCCTCCTAGTTCCAACCATGTCTTCGGTGCTCCAAGTTCCCTTTTGCTCCTATCGCTCCCTCGGTTCCTGCAGCCCATCAAGTAGAAGACCAGGATGATCTGACCTGACGGGCCTGCACGGGCTGGGAAGGGGAGGCGCAACGCGATGGCTCCTCCAACCAAGCCCCCCCTGCCCCCATTGCTTCCTTATTCCCATCTCTCTCTGTGTCTGCAGCCCATCAAGTAGAGGACCAGGATGATCTAACGGGCCTGCATGGGCTGGGGAGGAGCAACGACCCACATGGTGCAGGGAGGAGGAGTGGCGGCGCTACAGATGTCATGGGGAGAAGAATACCCACTCGCATCACCACCTTCCCTGCTGCTGACGCCGATGCGCCTGCTGCTCCTCCTCCTCCTCCCGCTGCTCCTGCTGCTCCTGCCACGAGTGCTGTCGCTGCCGCTCCTGCTGCTGCTGCTGTGAGCGCACCCGCTGGTGCCAGTGACAAAGCATCAGCTGTAGCAACACCAGGCAAGGGGGCTGAGGGTAGCAGCAAGAAGGAGAACAAGGAGAAGAAGGAGAAGAAGGGCAAGAACGCTCAGCCTGCCGCTGCTGCTGCCACTACTTCTGTGGCTACTGCAACTGCTCAGATTGCTGCTGCAGCAACGGCAGAAGGAGGCAGCAAGAAGGAGGGAGGCGGATCTTCGCTAAAGAAGAGGTAAGGCAGCTTGCAGCCGTTCTGGTATTCACATTTCTAGAGAACTCTTGCACGTTTTGTCTGTTCCTTGCAAGTTGCACATGCACACTGCAGTTTCTTGCTGCTGCTGCTGCCTGCTGTTATGCCAGTCTTCTCAACACGAACCCACCACTACCGTCCTCTCTCCCATTCCCAGGCCAGCCTGCACTGTCGTTTCTCCCCCTGGCAGCAGTGGCTCATGTCCTCTCTGCTGTTGCTGCCGTCGCTACTCCCCCTTTCCTTGGATAGTCCAACCTTTCCCCCCCTTTCACGCCTCTCGTATTTTCCCCCTTTTCCAGGCCAGCCCGCACGGTGGTGTTTGGGGCCTCTCATCCCCAGCACCAGTGGCACATGTCTTCTCTGTCGCTGCCGCCATCGCTGCTCCTGAGGAGGTCACCAATCCTTTCCTTCCCCTTCCCACCTTGTTCGTTCCTCACTTGTATCTCCCAGGCCAGCCCGCACGGTGGTGTTTGGGGGGCTCTCATCCCCAGCAGCAGTGGCGCATGTCCTCTCTGCCACTGCTGCCATCGCTGCTCCTGAGGAGGTCACCAACCCTTCTCTTCCCCTTCCCACCTTGCTCGTTCCTCACTTGTATCTCCCAGGCCGGCTCGCACGGTGGTGTTCGGAGGGCTCTCATCCCCAGCAGCAGTGGCGCATGTCCTCTCTGCTGCTGCCGCCATCGCTGCTCCTGAGGAGGTCACCAACCCTCTGCCTGAAGATGCTCTAAAGGAGAGAGGTGAGTGAGGTTTGATTTGTATGTACAGTATTGTTGAAGTCAACTCACATCACTGTCGTCGCTGCTCCAGATGAGGTCACCAACCCACATAAGATGCTCTAAAGAAGATGCTCTCAAGGAGAGAGGTGAGGTTCAATCTGATCTCACATTGGCCGTTACACTGCCGGCCTGCTGCCGTCGCTGCCGTCGCTGCTCCAGACCAGAGGAGGTCAAAAGCCCTCTGCCAGAGGATGCTTTAAAGGAGCGAGGCACGGATAACTTGTATCATTGTGGCTTTTGATTGAGTCAAACGTCACCTAGGCTCTTTCTCGTTGTCTCCCTCTCTTTGTCTTCTGCTTTTGCAGTTCCTCACTCAACCCACCCACCTTCTTTTGCATGCCCTCCGTCTTTTCCCCCACCAGGCCTTGCCCTTGATGACTGCACACCAGGCTGTGGCATCACTGCACGGCTGGGCGGTGGTGGTATGAATGTAGGTATGTATGAATATACCTCAAGCACCTTCTCTTCTGCCTTCCTTTTCCCCACCTTTTTCCAGGCCTCGCCCTTGATGGCTGTACCCCCCCTGCCGTCTCGATCGTATTCCCATCGGTGCGGGCCGCCCGCCAGGCTGTGGCATCGCTGCACGGCTGCACAGTGGAGGGCGGCGCCGAGGCTGGTGGCTCGGAGGAGCAGAGCGTTGCTGTGTGGGCGAGGCAGCTGGGTGGCGAGGTGGGTGAATGGGGAACAAGGTAAGAGGTGGGGTGCATGGCTGTGAGACTGGCAGGCCATGGCCTTGCTGCACGCACAGGAGTACGGCACAGGGCGGTATGAGTGCACGGAGCACAGCGTTGCTGTGTGGGCGAGGTGAGTGGTTGACGGGCAAGGGTAGGTAGAGGTGGGGTGTGAATGGCTGTGAGACTGGCAGGCCATGGTGTTGGCACACACACCCGCGGGTGTATGTTGCAGGGCGACACGCGGGCAGAGCATTACAGTTTGGGCTGTGTGGGTCCCGTCCCAGGGATGGCAGGCAGGCTGTGCTGTGGCAACCTCAAGACGTGGTTTGCATTGCATGATGCAGAGTGTCAGTGGTGTGGTGGTGGATAGAAAGGTGATGCTTTACCTTGTGTCTGCAGCGCTTCCTCGCTGCCTCTCTTCTCAACCTCTTTCCTCTCCCGCCCAACCATGTCATTTTCATGTGTATGCATGCATGTGTGGTCATCTGTATGTGTATACATGAATGTGTGGTCATCTGTATCTGTATGAATGCATGTGTGTTCATATCATCTGTATGTGTATGAAATTCATACTATGAATGCATATTCGCAGGGTTCAAAGACGCTCAGCAATCGGGTCATTGTTCGCAACCTGCCCTTCAAGGTGCGAACATTGCGTGCAAAGCATGTTAGTTGTTGCTCTTTGAAAATTTCTCTTGAGGCGCCTCAGATGCTGTGCACAGCGGCTTGGTAAACTTCTTTATCGTAAAGTACTTGTTGATTGAAAGGCATTGCCGTACCTGTTCGTCGTTGTCCTATTCAATCAACTTTAAACTGCCATGCTAGTACACAAAAAAAATAATGAGATACACGTCTCAAAACCTGATTGCTTGCTTCCATTATAGTTCACATCACTCACTCTCCTGTGATCGGGGTGTCTACATGTTTCTTTGCATAATTGTTTTGTGGTGCGTGGTGAGCGAATGACGCGATGCCAGGTGGCAGAAGCGGATTTGAGGAAGGCCTTTGCTGTTGCCGGCTTTCCATGGGCCGTCAAGATACCACATGGGGAGGATGGCAGGTAAGAGGTGGTGCAGGTGAGAGCAGGTGCAGGTGAGAGGTGGTGCAGGTGAGGGGATGGAAGTTGGGAAGTTGGGTGGATGACAGGCAGGTGGGATTTGGTGCAATACGGCAAGGCAAGGTGAGAGTGCAGCATGTGAGGCGAATGATAGGTGAGCGTATGGGAGGTGAGGTCTGGTGCAAGTGGTTTGATGGGACGGGAGATGGGTGAATAGCAGGTGGATGCATGTGAGATTTGTGATACCTGCTCTTGATCTTTGTTATGGATAATCGATGGAGACCATGTCTACAGAAGCAACACAAATAGACATGGGCACCCTTTGGATCTTGTTTTGGCTGATCTCGCTCCCTCGGTGCCTGTGATTCATTGCCCCCTCTTTACTGTGTGCACGCAGGCCTCGAGGATTCGCTTTTGTCACATTCACTACAAAGAGCGACGCAGCAAAGGTGAAAGCCTGTCCTGACTGTTTAACTCACAAGCTCACACACAGACACACAGCAACCTGCCAACCTGATACTGACACACAGCATCAGACAGACTGGCGGGACAGGTAAAGAGATGCATGAGGCACACATATTTTTGGCTCATGCATCCATGATGCTGTCTGTCTGATGTACAGGTAAGATATCCACGAGCCACACGCATCCAGAGAGTATTCCGCATTCCCAAAGAGATGATGACTTTTGAGTCGGCTCGAAATTCACACTCTGACTGACAGCACATGTCAAGAGATGCATGAGCCTTACAGATTTTTCCCCTTCCCTTCCAGGCCTGAGATAGTGCAACACACTCCCCCCCTCCTCCCACCCCCCCTCCCCGTCCCATCCTCCTTTCTTCAGTCAGACAGAAGACGGGATTTTTAGTCAGTCAACAGTGCACGGGATAGTCAAACCGACCGCCTCCACACATTTTCTCCCTCCTCCGCCCCCTCCTCCTCTCCCTCCCCTCCTCCTTTCTTCTGGCAGGCTATTGAGAAGGTCAGCGGCACGACCATCAACGGCCGAGCCGTTTCGGTGGGATGGGCGGTGGCAAAGAGGGAGCACATGGAGAGTGTGGAGAAGGAGAAAGCCAAGGAGAACAGAGGTCGGTGTGTGTGTGTGTGTGTGTGTGTGTGTGTGTGTGTGTGTGTGTGTGTGTGTGTGTGTGTGTGTATGTGTGTGTGTATGTGTGTGTGTGTGTGTATGTGTGTGTGTGTATGTGTGTGTGTGTGAATGGCTGGGTAACTGGGTGTGGCTGTGTGTATGTGTTTGCACAAGTGTATGTGTGTGAGGGCCTTCTTCTGTGCGTGTGTGATGACTTGTACCTGCTGTGCATTCAACTGCCCCCCTTGTTGACTTCTTCAACTCTAGTCCATCAGGTGTTTACGTATCAGTTGTTTCCCTCCTGGGTTCAATCATCCCTCTTTCTTGCACTTGCTGCTCTTCCCTTCCCCCTTGTGTTTTTCTGAATGATGGGGTGCCGTCGTGTCGATGCTGTTCGACGATTACGAGATGAGGACAAGACAAGTTTGAACACTTTTTTTTTCTGTGTTTCGGCGTATTTATGATCACTCGTTTCCTCTCTCACTTCTCCAATCAGATGGGTTGTCGATGCTGTTGGACAATGAGGATGAGGAGATGAGGATGCTTTTGAACTCTTTTGTCCTGTGGTTCTTTATAACTATGTTCACCTGTTCCCTCTCTCGTTTCTCCAATCAGATGGGTTGTCGATGATGAGGAGATGAACGAGGGAGTTCTCGTTTAAGGCGCCCCAAAACTCTTCCCTTCCCCCTTGTGTTTTCTTGAATCAGATGGGTTGTCGATGCTGTATGATGATGACGATGAGGATAATTCTGAACATTGTTTTCTGTGCTTCTGCGTGTTTATGTTCACCCGTACCCACCCTCGCTTCTCCAATCAGATGGGTTGTCGATGCTGTTCGATGATGAGGATGATGAGATGACCGAGGGAGGGGAGGAAGAGGAAGAAGAAGATAAGGAAGCGGAGGAAATGGAAGAGGAAGTGGAGGAGGAGGATGACGAGGTAGAGGAGCAGGAAATGGAAGAAGAGGAGGAGGATGAGGAGAGAGAAGCAAGGGTGAAGAGTCTTTTGGATATGGAAGCAGAGGAGGAGGATGAGGAGGATGATGATGAAGATGAAGAGGAGGAAGAGGAGGAAGAAGGGAGTGAGGAGGAAGAGGTTGAGGATGAGAGTGAGGAGGGAGAGGAGGAGGAGGACGAGGAGGGGGAAGAGGAAGAAGAGGACGAGGAGGATGAAACAGATGATGAGGAGGAGGAGGAGGTAGATTGGGAGATGGAGATGGGTGGTGGTGGCAGCAGTGGTGCCGTGCAAGGGAGTGAGAAGGATATGATGCTACGGGTGCTGTCCCGAGTGGTTGAGCAGGGGAAGGGGGAGGAGGGGATGGAGGGCGCAGGGGAGGAAGTGGGGTTGAAAGCAAAAGGTGTGGCTGTGAAAGGTGGGAAGGAAGGGGATGCAGCAAAAAAGGGGAAGGAGGGGAAGGAGGGAAAGGCAGGGAAGGTTGGCGAGGGAAAGAAGACAGGCTCTCGTGATGGCAAGGAAGGGACGGGTGTGGAGGAAGGGGAGGTGACGGAAGGGAAGGATGGGAAGGGCGAGAAGGCAGAGGCGCCGCCAGCGACGGTGTTTGTGAGGAACCTGCCTGTGGATGCCTCAGCTGACCGCATTCGAGCAGCCTTTGAACGGTTCGGCAAGGTGGCTGACTGCAGAGTCGTGCTGCACCCCGTTACCAGGTGAGTGGCTGTGTTGGGTCGTGCTTTGTAAGCCGTGTTGTTACTAGTCACACCTGTCGCACCTGTGCTATGAGGCGTTTGATCTGTTCTGCAAGGTGGTTGACTGTTGCGCGGTGCTGTGCTGCACCCGGTTACCAGGTGAGTTGCTGTGTTTTTGAGACGTCTCAAACAGGTCACCTGGTTACCAGGTGAGTTGCTGTGTTTTTCAGACATCTCAAAGCTCACCCGGTTACCAGGTGAGTTGCTGTGTTTTTGAGACGTCTCAAACAGGTCACCCGGTTACCAGGTGAGTTGCTGTGTTTTTCAGACATCTCAAAGCTCACCCGGTTACCAGGTGAGTTGCTGTGTTTTTGAGACGTCTCAAACAGGTCACCCGGTTACCAGGTGAGTTGCTGTGTTTTTCAGACATCTCAAAGCTCACCCGGTTACCAGGTGAGTTGCTGTGTTTTTGAGACGTCTCAAACAGGTCACCCGGTTACCAGGTGAGTTGCTGTGTTTTTCAGACATCTCAAAGCTCACCCGGTTACCAGGTGGGTTGCTGTGACTGTCCATGGCGCATGCAGGTTACACGATGTGTCCCGGCTATCTGGTGGGTTGCTGTGACTGTACGAGGTGTGTTGCATGCTAAGCCATGTGTCCCGGCCGGTTACCAGGTGCGTTTTCTTATCAACAGCATGAGCATTCTTTTATTCTAATAAGTCACACTGCCTTACTCCTCTCGACTCCAATGCACCCCACCACACTACCTGCTGAATCCCCTTAGGCGTCCCCGAGGCTCGGCGTTCGTCCGTTTCGAAACGCCCGAAGCCGCGCAAGCCGCCGTGGCAGGCTCGGCCCGAACCGCCAAGGCCAGGGCCGAGGTTGGGGGAGAGGGAAGGAAGGGAGGGGTGGAGGAGGGGATGGTGGTGGTGGGGGGGCAACAGACCCTTGTGACTCTGGCAGTGCGACGGGAGGAAGTGTCTAAGGTGGTGGAGAAGAGGAAACAAGCTGAGAAGACAGGCAAAGGGAGAGAGGAGGACAGAAGGAACCTTCACCTGCTGGAGGTGTGTACGGAAGTGCATTGGTTCTAAGGGTGCTTGGCTGTAGTAAATTGTGAGAGGTAAAGCACAGAACAGAAGCTGGATTTCGATTAGTTAGATTAAAGAGGAAACCAACCCGTCAGTAGTCCTCTCCTCCGTGCATGTTTCTTTCTTCCTTTTCCCCCTTCCTTACATTGTGGCTTAATGTCCTACCTTCTTGTTCCTCCCTCGCATGGGGCTATGTGCTGCTTGACTTGACATTGCATGGCATTCTATATACCTGCATGGCATGGCATGGCATGGCATGGCATGGGCTGCATCGCATAACAAAATTGTCACATTACATGGCATCGCATGGTATGGGATGTTACGGAACTGTACCAGTGGCATGGCATGGCATGGCATGGCATGGCATGGCATGGCATGGCATGGCATGGCATGGCGTGGCATGGCATGGCATGGCGTGGCATGGCGTGGCATGGCGTGGCATGGCATGGCATGGCATGGCGTGGCATGGCGTGGCATGGCGTGGCATGGCATGGCATGGCATGGCATGGCATGGCATGGCGTGGCATGGCGTGGCATGGCATGGCATGGCGTGGCATGGCGTGGCATGGCGTGGCATGGCGTGGCATGGCATGGCATGGCGTGGCATGGTATGGGATGGTACGGGACTGTATCGTTGGTATGGCATGGCGTGGCATGGCGTGGCATGACAGGAGGGGGTGATCAAGGAGGGAACACGAGCAGCAGAGGGAATGCCAGCAACAGACATGGAGAAGAGGAAGAGGTGGGTTGGGGAAATAGATGGGTTGGGGAACAGAGGTGGGCTGTGGAAATAGATGGGTTGGGGAAAGAGGTGGGTTGGGGAAATAGTTGTGGGCAAAGAGGGGTTGGGGAAATAGATGGGTTGGATGAATGCGTTGACAGCAAAGGGAGATTCTTTTTGTTTTTTTTTTCAGCCCCGCTCATCGTTCTCATTTCATCTCATTGCGTTCTAACTCAAGCTGAGGACTCTTAAGTTTGTCACAGCGCTAATGTAGCTTTTGACACGGCGCAAAGGTCATTTTATTGTTATCTTTTGTGCTCCTATCCCGTCTGTTCCTATTTCAGGCTGCAGCGTGAGAAACTGATGAAGCTCCGAAGCCCCAACTTCGCGGTGTCGTTGACGCGCCTGGCGGTGCACAACGTGCCACGGGAAATCGATGAGAAGCAGCTGAAGCAGGTGTTTGTGGATGCTGTGAAGGCACGGGCCAAGAAGCAGAAGCCTCATGTGAAGCAGGTGAGGGCGAGCGGCGCATGATGCATGTGTTAGGCTGTGGGGTGCATGGGGGAAGGAAACAGGCGGGAGATGGGCGAGAAGCAGCTGAAGCAGGTGTTTGTGGATGCTGTTAAGGCACGGGCCAAGAAGCAGAAGCCGCATGTCAAGCAGGTGAGATTGTTGGGCCGGGTACACGTATAATTCTTGAAATCAGCATCATTGATGAATGAGTTGATCGTGCGGTCAACCCTTTTACAACCACCTTCCACCCCTCGTTTCCATGGTCAACCCTCTTCCATCGTCCGCTCTTTCACCAAGGTAGCAGCATTTGACCACCTTCACGTCTTCTGATTGCACTCCTTTCAACCGCCGTGCACCACTCTCGTTCATCACCCTCTCATTTTTGCAGGTGAAGGTGCTGAGAGAAACAGATAGGGTGGGGCGAGATGGAAAGCCACGGTCCAAGGGAGTGATGTTTAATCTCACCTTTGCACTCCTTCAAACCTGCACCACTCTCGTTCATCATCCTCTCATTTCTGCAGGTGAAGGTGCTGAGGGAAGCAGACAGGGTGGGGCCAGATGGCAAGCCGCGGTCTAAGGGAGCGGCGTTCATTGAGTTCAGTGAGCATCAGCACGCTGTGGCGGCTCTCAGGGCTCTCAATAACCATCCCAGTGAGTGCAGTGCGGTGCAGTGCGATGCTGTGCAGTGCAGTGCGATGGTTTGAGTGCAGTGCGGTGGTGTGCTGTTCTTGAGACGGCAAGCCGCGGTCTAAGGGAGCGGCGTTCATTGAGTTCAGTGAGCATCAGCATGCAGTGGCGGCTCTCAGGGCTCTCAACAACCATCCCAGTGAGTGCAGTGCGGTGCAGTGCAGTGCCGTGCAGTGTTGTGAGGTGCGGTATAGTGCGGTGCAGTGCTGTGCTGTGCGTGAGACGGCAGGCAATAGGAGAGGCGTTTAACAATCATCCCTGTGAGTCCCCTAAGGTGTGCATTGTAATGTGGTGCAGTGCGGTCCAGGGCTGTGTGTGCGGTGCTGTGCAGTGTGGTGCTGCACTGATCTTGAGACGGCAGGCAAAGGGAGCCGTCGTTCACGTTCGTTGAGTTGAGTAAGCATCAGCCCGCGGTGGCAGCATTGAGAGCGATGAGCAACCATCCAAGAGAGTGCAGTGCGGTGTTGTGCAATTCTGTGCAGTGCCCGGAGGCATAGCATTGCCCGTGCCTTTTCCTTACACCCATGCCTCTCCCTTACTCATGGCCCTCCCCTGCAGCCATCGTCTCTCACGACACTCACCCCATAGTGGAGTTAGCGATTGAAAATGTATCGATAGTGAAGCAGAGGCACCACACGTCCATGCCTCTCCATTGCACCCATGCGTCTCCCTTACATCTGTATTTCTCGCTTATTCTCATCATCACTCCGTTGCAGCCATCTTCTCTCGTGATGCTCGCCCCATAGTGGAGTTTGCGATTGAGAATGTCTCGATAGTGAAGCAGCGGCAGCACACGGTGATGCAGCAGAGCGACAGGCGGCAGGCAGTGCGGCAGCAGCAGAAGCAGCAGAAGAAGCAGGAGAAGAAGCAGCAGCAGCAGCAGCAGCAGCAGCAAGAAGCTTGTGCTGCTGGTCTGGCGAAAGCAACGGGGGCAAAGAGAAAGCCTGAGGAGGCCGAGCCGCCTGCTGCTGGTGCCACTGAGGGGTCTCCAGCAAAGAAGAAGCAGAAGCAGGTGAAGGGAGCCAAGGGGCGGGTTCAGCAAAGGAAGGGGCAGGGGAAGGACGTGAAGGGGCATGCGTGTCTGCAGGAGCAAGCAGGTGGGAAGGCAGACGCTGCAACAGAGCAGCAGAGGGCCGGAGTGAAGACAGCCGGTGCAGCAGAGCAGGGAGGGGCGAGAGGCAGTGGGATGGGCGAGCTAAAGAGGAAGCAGAAGGGTGCAGCAGGGGGCGCTGGTGTGTCTCCTGCTGCTGCAGTGAAATCTGCTGCTGCTTCTCCCGCGACTGCTATGAAGGCTGCTGCTGGTGCTGTGAGTCCCGGTGCTAAAAAGGCAAAGACAGACCCAAGGAGGGTGGCAGCAGCAGTGGCAATGAAAGCTGTTGCTGCCTCTCCTGCTTTTGTAGTAAGTCCCGGTTCTAAGAAACAAAAGACAGACGCAAGGAGAGGAGAAGCAGCGGCTGCAGTGGTGGAGGCTAGGCGGGCGCAGGCAGCACTAGCTGGGCTGGGAAGTGGAGGTGGCGGTGGGGAGAGGGGCAAGGCGAGGAGCAAGAAGGGGTCGGAGCACCAGGAGTTGGTGGATGAGCTTGATAGGCTCGTGGCGGCTTACAGATCAAAGAACTATGGGTGAGAGACTGTAAGGGAGATAGGGAGGGCGAGGGAGAGGGGCAAGGTGCAGAGCAAGAAGGGGTGGGAGCACCAGGAGCTGGTTATGAGTCTGACAGCTTCGTGGCGGCTTACAGAGCGAAGAACTATGGATGAGAGAGGGAGTCAAGGGAGGGAGTGAGAGGGAGATGGGCACGGGGCAGGGCAAGAAGGGGTCGGAGAACCCAACGTTGATAAGCTTGTGGTGGCTTACAGATCGAAGAACTATGGATGAGGGACTGCAAGGGAGGGAGTGAGAGGGGGATAGGCAAGGTGAGGAACAGGAAGGGGTCGGAGCACCAGGAGTTGGTGGGTGAGCTTGATAGGCTCGTGGCGGCTTACAGATCGAAGAACTATGGGTGAGAGAGGGAGTACAAGGGACCGGAGCATCACGAGCGTTTGGGATGCACTTGATTGGCTATGAGTCTGAGTCTGCTTGATGAGCTCGCAGCAGATTACGGGTGAAGAATCATGAAATTACAGTTGAAAATACGGTAGTAAATATGTTGAAGGCGTGAAGAGCAAAAAATATTGAAAGCAGAGCCTTGGCATACGGTTTGTTATTGTTATTCAATTCTCTCAAAGTTAGCGAACAACGGAATGATTGGAATAGAAACGAATGGGGTACAAATGAGCAACCCTAGAAGCTGTACCCCCTAGAGTGCAACTCACTATAGCCTATCATATCAATGTTCAACATTTGACACACCCCCATAGGCTAAGTGAGGGGCATCAAAGCAAGCAAGGTGAACAAACGGTCACAAGACCAGTCAAAGCAAGAACCAAGGCAAGCTCAGGGTGGATCTCAAGGACACCACACAAATTCCGAGCGCAAGCAAGCGGCCACAAGGCCAGTTCAAGAGTTCACTAGGATATAAATACAAAGCACAACAAGCAGAGCAAGCAACAGGACTACACCAACCGAGGGCCTACCTCAACAAGCCCCAACTGCACACAGAACCTGTGGTGGTCACCAAGCGCCAAGGCCTTGGTGAAGACGTCTGCAGTGTTGGCCTCTGAGGCCACAAAGTCCAGGCGTGCCTGACCGCGTCGCTACAGCTCTCGCAGGAGGAAGTACCTCACGTCAATATGCTTCACTCTGCTCTCCAGTCGAGGCTCTCGACACAGGAGGATCATGGCCTTGTTGTCAGCGTACAAGGTCGGTGCAGAGCGAGGCCGCTCACCAAGGTCAGCGAGCAAGAAGGTCAACCAGCGAAGCTCTTGTGCCGCCATGGCACCGGCGTAGATCTCTGCCTCTGCACTGGAAATAGCCACAGACGACGACCGTGTAGACCTCCACGACACAGCACCAGCTCCCAGACTGAAGCAGTAACCCTGAGTCGAACGTTGAGTCTCCACGTCGTCAGCGTAGGAAGAGTCGCAGTGACCAGTCAACGCCACTGGCTGAGTCCCTCCAAGCACAAGCCCCAAGCCTGATGTAGTCGCCAGGTACTTCGCCACCCTCACAGCAGCTGTCCAGTGGACAGGGCGGTGTCTCCCAGTCGCAACAAAGCGAGAAAGGATGCTGAGTGGAAAGGCGAGGTCCGGTCGAGTACAAGTCATCAGGTACATGAGGCAGCCCACCAGCTCTGCGTAGGGTCCACTGGACTCAAAGGGCTCGTCAGGAAAGGGGCCCGTGAGTCTGTGGTCAACAGCAAGAGGAGTGGGTTGTGTGGTGGAGAACTGGAAGTGGAACCGCCGAAGGACCTGCTGCACCATGTGTGACTGCGTCAGTGTGATGGTGCGAGCGGCTCTGTCCCGGGTGATCTGCAGGCCAAGGTAGCGCTGCAGCTCACCCAGGTCAGTGCACTTGTGTCTCTTCTGCAGTTCGGACTTCACCTGAGCCAGGGCTGCCCTGTCTGCTGTAGCAAACACCAAGTCGTCGACGTAGACAAGGATAAAGAAAGGAGTAGAACCCGCTCGAACAAACAGCGACGGGTCGGCGGAGGACGGGCTGAACCCAAGGTCACGAATCGTGGAGCGAAGAGTGTCGTGCCACTCACGGGGCGACTGGCGGAAACCGTAGACTGGTCGCCTCAGGCTCCACTGGGTCCCAGGTGGGAAGGTGTCAGTGAAGCCAGGAGGACGGCGCAGCCAGATCTCCTCGTGCAGTCGGCCCTGGAGGAACGCAGTGGAGAAGTCGAGGGAGTGCAGCTCGTAGTCTCGCTGCGCTGCTATGTGGAGTAACACCCGAAGAGTAGTCATCTTCGGGGTCGGGGCGAAGGTCTGGAAGAAGTCAACTCCCTCACGCTGACTGAAACCCCTAGCCACGTAGCGCGCCTTGAACACCGGCGGTGCTCCAGGCGGCCGCTTCACCTTGAAGAGCCACATGCCATCGACTACGTTCGCCCTGGGAGGGGGAACTGCGTCGACGTAGGTGCCTGTGGATCTCCAAGACGCCAACTCTGAGTCCATAGCCGCTTTCCACTGAGAGGCCCACGCCCCTGACACTGCCTCGCGGTAAGTGCGAGGAGTCGGTATGTCAAGGGCGTCGGGGTCTCCTTCAGGGGAGAGCAGCATGGCACACACAGAGGGAGAAGCGGCTGCCCAGTACTCCAGCTCGGACTCTCTGTCCTCTAGGACGTCACAGCCAAGGGCAAACCCACCCCCGACGGACAGATGACGGTAGGGAGGAGCTGGCACCACACGGGTGGCGTAGTCAAGGCGGTTGGCGACAGCAAACTCAGCGACAGCGGCAGTGAGAGCCGAGACAGACGACGGAGGGAAACGAGGGTCGGTGACAAGAGTGGTGAGGACACGAGCGCCAACAGGACGAACAGCGCGGTAGTAGTCAGAGATAGGAGTGGGGAGGGCAGGTAGAGAGGACGGAGGAGGAGACGGGAGAACGGACACAGGAGAAGGAGAACGACGACGAGACGAACAAAGGAGGGCAGTGTGGAGGTCAGTAACAGGGGACGAGTGACGAGCACGCGGAGGACAACGAGTGATCAAGTCGCGACGGACAGAGGGAGGAGGAGACTGAGGAGGAGGAGAAGACCAGACCGCCGGACGGTCGTCAGGAGGAGGCAACGGAGGAACAAACACAGGAAGAGACTGGGAGCGGACAGGAGGAGAGGAGGAAAGGCCAAGGGCCCGCAGGCCACTCACAGGTGGGAACAACCGCCGCTCCTGAGGAAGCTGCGGTGGCGGCTGCGGCCGCTGCTGCTGCGGCTGCGGCTGCTGCTGCTGCGGCTGTGGGTGCTGCTGCTGCTGCTGCTGCCGCTGCTGCTCCAGAAGGTCCAGCACCCGCAGCTCCTGCCGCTCCCTCTCCAACCGCTCCTGCTCCTCACGCTCACGCCGACGGGCAGCCTGGAGACGCGTGTCGTGGCGGTGGGGGGGCGGGGTGGACTCCGCAGAACCAGGGTCTCCAGCGTCAGTCTCCTCAGACTCAGCACCCCCAGAACCAGTACCGCCAGTGCCAGGACCTCCAACTCCAGCACCCCCAGAACTAGCACCGCCAGTGCCAGCACCCCCAACTCCAGCACCCCCAGAACCAGCACCTCCAGTGCCGGCACCTCCAGCTCCAGCACCCCCAGAGCTAGCGCCACCTGCGCCAGCACCTCCAGCTCCAACACCCCCAGAGCTAGCGTCACCTGCGCCAGCACCTCCAGCTCCAGTACCCCGCGACCGAGCACCCCCAAACCGAGCACCGCCAGCGGCTGCACCTCCAGCTCCAACACCAACCGAGTCCACAGTAACCTGTCGCCGAAGTGCCAAAGGCTGCTGAGGGGACTGGGAGGAGGACTGTGGGGAGGGAGACGCTACCTGACGCGCGACCGAGGGTAGAGGGGTAGCGTGGGACACACCAGACGGGGCAGGACCAGGGGGGGGCGGGGGTACCGGAGGAGCGGGAGCAGGAGGAGGAGAGGGTGCGAGGAAGAGAGGGGGAGGGGGTAACGGGAGACCTCGACAGGGGTACCGGGTGTAGTAGGACACAGACTCGTCAAACCGGACGTCACGGGAGTCTAGGAACTGGTGGAGGGGAGGGTGGTAAAAGGACCAGCCAGCAGAGTCCACTGGGAAACCAAGGAAGACACAGGGGACGGCGCGTGCCGAGAGCTTGTCCGCGGAGGTGTCGCGAACAAGTGCAAGGCAGCCCCAGACTCGAAAGGCCGACCCAACACCAGGGGATCCAGTCCAGAGACTGGTCGGTGAAGCCTCGGGCCGCGAGACACGCGGCTGGAGGTTCAGCTGGTGTGCGGCGTAGCGAACCGTGTGAGGCCACAGAAAATGGGGCGCACGGGCATGAATCATGGACGTGCGGGCGATGTCCATGACCAAGCCTATGCGGCGCTCAGCAACCCCATTCTGCTGTGGGGACTCTGGCAGCGTCCAGGACTGGGTGATGCCCTGTTCGCCGCAGAATCCGCCGAGAATGCCGGAGCGAAACTCGCCCCCACGGTCGGAGTGAAGACAACTGACTCGACGACCACGAGTGCCCTCAGTGGCTAGAAGCCACCTGATCAGCGTAGCAGTCACCTCGGACTTCTTCGCAAGAGGAAACACTGTGGTGTACCTGGAGAAGTCGTCGACGACCACCAGAAAGTAGCGCTCCCTCCCAGACCCCTGCGTCGGGGCAGGGCCCCAGACGTCCAAGTGGAGAGTCTCGAAGGGAGCGGTGGCCGGACGAAGGGAGGAGGAGTGGGGAGTGGCACGTAAGCGACCGGCGACGCACGGAGAGCAAGGAGGGGCAAGCGAGGGAGGGAGCGACTGGAAGGTGCGTGGGAGACCTGTGACTAGTCCCTGACTGAGCATGCCACGAAGGCAAGGGATCGACGGGTGGCCAAGACGGTGGTGCTACAGGACGGTGCGGTGGGCGAGAGAGCGACAGGAGCAAGACGCAGCGACTGGACTGGACACAGCGACCGGACTGGACACAGCCACCTGACCAGACTCTGCTACCGGGGGGGACGAATCAACCTGACCAGACGCAGCTACCTGCGGGGGCGGAGTGTGCAGGACGAAGAGACCTGAGTGGGGCTCTCT